TTTCGCAGTCCTTGCAAATGGAGGCCTTCACTACAAACATACCGAGAATAGGCAGCTTTTATGAAATTCTCAACGGCATTTCCAGACAAGTTTTGCCCTTGTGCCTTGCTTTCCTGCACCAAAACCGGTTTTTGGGGAACAAAAATTGGAATATTATATCACGTTTTTCAAAAAAAATCCAAAATTTGGGTCGGTCGCGGACAGGAAACCGGGAATTAAATTCGGACGGCCTAACTTGAAGACCAGCAGGGCCAGGCTTCAGTCGCCAAACAATCCCAGGCTGCATCATGCATGGAGAGGCAGCACAGCTTTGCAGAAGCGACCTTTGCTATACCGTAGCTGGTTGCAGAAAACTCGCGGGGTCGACCATGCAATGCCACAATGCCAGTAACATGTGAACAGATGTTAGTGGCCAAAGCGCCAGCTAGAGCTCTTCTTGTCTTGGCTTCAAGCAGGGGAGAAACAAGCTGATGAAGTGTGAAAACTTGATCAATTTGGAAGCTGCTGGGTTGAGGCCCCTCCAATCGGAGAGATAAGGTGGGAGCAACAACAACTTCAGGTGTTGAGTCTCCTCGTAAACTTTGGAGGAAATTTTGGAGGAGTTTGGGCACTCGAAGGTCCATGTTATGCTGGTGATCTGGTGATGAGTGCTAGAGACCCTTGTCATACTTTCAGTCAGTGAAGCCTTGACGGCCTCCAGTGGGCCGCACATACAATGCTGTCACTGGCAAATGCGCCAGAGTCCTCTGCTTTCGTGCATTGCAGGCCCCTCTTCGACACCACCAGCCTGCACTGCTGGCTTAAAATCGATGATGTTCTTCTTTGCGCCGCTGGTCAATGCAAGCTCATTCTGTACTTGAGTTGGGATTAGGAACGCTGTTTACATCAAGCATTCCAGCATTTGACTTCCAGATTTTTGAGTTGTCCCATCAAATTTGAGTGCGTCAATAAAAAACCAGCATGTTTAAGGCGCTCACTCAAGCTCTCTGATCTTCGTCTGTGTTTACTCCACGTGGTTCGCCATCAAAGTTGCTTCGCTGCACATCAACAACTAGTGACCTTGTGTCATTCTAATTCTTTGTGCAGAGTACGATAGTTGCTGAGAAGAGCATGATAAAACCTGACGCTCAAGATGAATACTATGAGGAATGTAGACAGCGTTTCCTGCAGCTCGAGCAATCCCTGGCTTATGCTAACTGAACTGTCTTCTTCTGTGGATGTGGTCTTGCAGGTGCACATGACTTGCTTCTTCTAAACCTGTGTCAACCAGGATCGGCACACGGAGACCAGGTGACTCGTATTCCCCTGGCCAAAATGCAGAATATGTCTCCTATCCTTGGGCTTCTGGACAGCAATGTTGGAGAGGTAAACGCTCGAGCAAAAGTGATGGAGGAAAATAGACAATACAAAGAGGCTGAGGTGTTGCATCACCAAGTTTCGGAATGGAGTGAAGCAACTTTGGGGCCAATGCACCGGGATACACTAGCAAGCTTGGGCAACCTTGCGAGGGTCATTGGGAGCCAAGGCCGGCATGCTGAAGCAGAGGCTCTGCATAGGGAAGCACTAGAAAGGCGAGAGGAAATACTGGGCCCGATACACCCAGATACATTGGCAAGCATGGCGAACCTTGCAAATGCGCTTCAATTCCAAGGGCGGTACTCCGAATCGGAGCCACTGCATCGGCAATGTATGGAGGGGCGCGAGATTGCTCTCGGCCTGACGCACCCGCATACAATGAGGAGTGCAAACAACCTTGCAAACGCTGTGCTGGCACTTGGACGGGTTGGGGAGGCCGAAGAGTTGCACATGCGGATCCTTGAGGGGAGGGAGGCAACATTGGGACCTATGCACCCGCAGACGTTGACGACGCTGAACAACTTGGCGAACGCTGTGCAACAACAGGGCCGGTATGATGAAGCGGAAAAGTTGAACCGGCGCGCTTTGGAAGGATGGACCATAGCATCGGGTCCAATGAACTATCTTACATTGCGAAGCATGAATATTCTTGCGAATGTGGTAGGAGCACAAGGGCGGCATGCAGAAGCAGAGGCGCTTCATAGGCAGGCTTTGAACAGCAACATGTCCATATTAGGCCCTGACCATCCGGACACTGTGCAGAGTTTGAAAAGCTTGGCTATGTGTTTAGAGGCACAAGGTCGGCATGCGGAGGCGGAAGCTTTGTTAAGGGACTTTTCTAAGAGAGTTGATAGGCCATTGCTTGCTTTAGCGGCACTTGCTTCACTCCTTGGAGGTTGTCTGGTTTGGGCAATGTCAAGACTGCAAAAGCACAACATGGTTCCAGGCAAAAGTTGAACTTCAAGCTTGAAAGCCAAGATGTCTGGTGCGCTAAGTGCACTAAAAACGATTAGTGTATCAGAAGTGTTTGAGTAGCGGCCTGCCATTGTTCTAATAGCTAGGGAGCCTTAGACGTGACTGGGATTGTCGCAATAGCTTTGTTCTGGCAAAATATGAAAACAGATTATCAGCTGAAACCCGCTGTCGAAAAGCGGTTGGGGGTCAGCGCAAGATCAATGTAGAAAAGTGTGGAAGATTAGAAACAAAATTTAACGCAACCCCAAAATCCTGGAGTCAAAACAAAATCCCCTGCATGCATCTTGATTTGATCTAGCGATAGGCATGCAGTGCAATGGCCGGTCGACCGACCAGTGCACTGCCTATTGCCCAATCAAATCAAGATCAAACTTGCATCATGGCATGTATATCCAACCATCATTAGTACAGTATCATATACATGGAATATTGTCTTACTAAATAGTTGCTATAAAGCAGCTTAGAATCATACTCTAGTATGATGGCCTGTTCAATTTGTGGTTCGCTCCAATTATAAGTCATTTTATCCCCGGTTGGGGAAAATGTAGCTCGTCAGCAACGTGGCTTATTTCAACATTCCTGCAGAAGCAGATTCAGGCCGCGCAAGGCACGTTTGATACATTCGATAACAGCCATTCCGCCTTTGCCGTGCATCTTTCAAGATTCCGAAATTAGTCCGAGACGTGTGAGTCAATACCGTTTGCTTCCTAATCAGGGGGTGGGGTGCCGACTTGAGTGGTCAACTTTCGTGCTAGTAAGGGATTTTCGCCTCCACTTCGCCCCTGTACAGCCGCCGACCTCGAAGCCCGTTCCAAAAGTCCCGCCCGCGCATCGGCTTCTTGCTTGGCGGCTGCAGCTCTTGAATCTGGAAACAGGAAGGAGAGAAAGTGTCTACATATTGTGGGTATCGTTGCGGAGAAGGCGTCACTCTAGATGGAGCAGTCACGGAGACTAGATGCAAGCAGACGAGAAAGATCCGGATAGAGCATTCTTCCGGAGGAACGTGCCACAAGACTGCGTGTCAGTGGGACTCTTGAGAGGTTTAGGAGGTAGATTCCAAACAGGTTTTTAGGTGCAAACCCAAAAGATGGAGCCCACGGCAACAGCGTTTCGTTGAAAGAATGCTAAGAAAAGCAGACCGAAACACGCAAGTCGCTCTGAAGCTGAAGCTCTGACTGTTTGAAGCTTGATTCTCGAAGGACCCGTTGTCTGACTCAGGCGCAGACCTGCTGAAGGCCAGGCAGAAACGCAACAAGTGGACTGTAAAAAAACGACCCGGAATTACTGAAAGGAAAACCGATAAGAAAGCTCATTCTTTTTCGCTAAGGCTCTCAATCTGGTTACGGACCAACCCCAAAATCAACGAAAAAATGGCAGGCGGAAAGAGAGGAAAAGAAAGCCAGAGAAGGAAGAGCTCACCTCCAAAATAGATCCATCCACACACGTCACTCGAAGCCCCGTCTTGGATAGCGTCACCTCTTTCGAGTCGCCCTCGGCGCCCTCCCCCTCGACGACACGTGTCGTGATGACCTTCACCGTCACCGGCTCCGACTCTTCTGAGCCGTCCGATCGGATGTAGAAGGTTGCTTTCGTTCCGGGCCACCCGGCAAATGCGCGCACCTGCAAGTTGCAATCGTTCATAGATCTCGCTGTCGCAACACTTTCCGGCATGACAACACTCTGGATCGTGAAACTAAAGAATCTGATTCGTGATCATGGCCCCGTTCGACTCAACCGACTTAGGTGGCCTGTGATTACGAGGGTACGACGCGTACCTTGTTATGTAGCACAGATGCTGGTTGTTCGAAGTCCAGATTCCCCTCCTCTATCCGTACCTGCAAACAAAACAGAATCATTCGACTATTGCCAATACGAGTCTCAACTTAAACGCCTTTGGCGGGTCTCTTTCCACGTAGTTCACCAGTATTGGACAAAATAGGCAACTCGTCAGAGCGCCACGAGACTTTCAAAAGAGTTCTGCTTGATTGTTCTTGTATTTGAAAGTTGGCCAAACCAGTGCCGTCGCAAACGCTGCAAGCTTGAGCACCGGGAACGCAATCGACAAATGTTCTAAGGAGACGTTGAGTACGTAACACTAGCGGTTCAATGATCAGCGAGAGCCAAAGCTACCGCGACCTAGCAATCCCCTCTCGTTGCATAAGCACATCAGCGAAAGTACGTTACTCCACTCAAGTACGCGCGTCTCAAAATGTGCGAAGTTTCGGCAAGGGAGAAGCCCATACATAATTTACTCGATGCGACTAATTTGCAGCGACAGCAAAGGCCGAAACCGCAGCCCTAAGGTCGCCGAGCAACAGCCAGGTCTAATATCAAAGTCCCTTCGCGTTGAAATTGCATCTGACCCACACATTGATGAAGCTCGCACGAAGGAAACGAAGGATCGATTCCTCACCTTTGGTGCTTCCGTTTTTTTCGCGTGATCTTGCTCGGTAGCCCGCTCCGCAGCGGTTCCGTCGAACACGGACGGCAGGTTCCGCAGCAGAAGATCCGTTCCTGCAAGGAAGCTGCTGTCAGCTCGGACCCTTCAGATGGGCCCTACAATGATCCCCAAGTTGAGCAACAGGCTGGAGAACTTGCATCAGACGTAGGTATTGACTTTGACTGTGGGGAACAAAGGTCGCCGATTGATAAGTTGACCAGTGACTTTGCTCAATCAGCAACTCAATCTGATGGAAATGGTTGCAACCATTTTAGGAGCTTAGGAAACGAGCCATCAGACGGGAAGCTTCCTTACCTCGCCTAAACAGATATTCTAGTAGCTCAGGGGCCTGGAAATTCATGCAAAGAAAAAGCGTCAAGAAGGCGCTTTCGCAACGTCATCCAACCGGCCAGTAAGAAAACCGTCGAACGTTCAAGGAAACACACAGATTCCTGGTGACCAGGAAGCAGACTGGTGGGCTCCTCTGTCGCCCGCGTAATTCCGAGCTTTCACATTCAAACGACGCCCTCTTTCACGAGGTACTGTTATTTGCATCAGCTTGTCCAAAAGTCGCGGTCCGCTTGAGAACTACGTGCCACTTTGTCCTGCCCAGTCACAACGCCACAATCCACGTGAACATCTCCCGTCTCTTCTGCTTTAGCACTGATGCCTTGAACACCTTAGCAGATAATCATCAATCAGCAAAGAGCCACCATTGGGTGGCACCTGCCCGAAGCAGACGCCCCTGATTGTTACGGAGGGCGTCCCCCATTTCGGCTCTCCAAAGGAACACAGGCAAAGATCTGTAATTGAGTGTTGCCGATGGGCGACCGCCAGAGCGGAGGCCTGGCCACACCTGTTACTTAGCGGGGTTCGATCCTTCGACGCCCCCTTACAGACGTTGGACGCTCACCTTGATGTTTGGGTCCACTTCGACTTCCTCCTGTGCCAGAACCGGCCCAGCATCCATTGCTCGCACTGTGAACGCAACGGTGACGCCGGTGACCTTTTCGCCCGCCTGAAACGCACGCAACATCCATCCAATTTATCGCAGATTGTTTGTCTTGGTGAGGTCTCTAGCTTATTTGTGCGAAGTAACGAATCACGTCGACCTCAGACTAAATTTCAGATGCCAACCGCCCAACAGGTGCAGAACCGCTCAAATCATGGGTCCGCCGAGGCTGAAATGATACAATAGAGTCACTCGGAAAGGAGGATCCAAATTGCGGAAACTGCATTTTGAGGCGGGAGGAAAGGCAAATATCTGCTCGCTTCTGACTTTAACACCTCTGAGATTGAACTAAGGATTTGAAAATGCCAATGTGGCACCGCCTGCCTTTAGAAAGTAAGCTAAGAGCTGACGACTATTTGTATTTGGAAGGTTGCTCAAAAGAAATCTGATCCTCAAGGCTCGCCGTGGAACTGTGGAACATACTGACAAAAAACTCAGAACACGTCTGAGAATGTTAGAGATACCATTCCGTCTTTTCAATTTGCAAAGAGCAGGCTCGACGCGCAAAGAGACTCCGTTTCCGACTTCACACAACAAGAAACGCGAGCAACATCGATCAGGAGCGTACCTCAATCGCTCTCTGCACCGGTGAGGCGCCTCGGTAGAGCGGCAGCAGGCTCGGATGGATGTTCAACGTCCCTAAACGATCGGACGGCTGTGCTTCAGCAGAAGGACACATCAACTGAAAGTTTCGAAAGTTTCTCAAAGTCGAGTGAAGAGTGTAGTCGTCATTTTTTCTGAGGCATTCCAAGAAGGAAACTTGACAATTAAGAGTTTATGAAAAGATTGACGAAGCAGTACGGAACATGCGATCAATTGATTGGAAAAGGTTGCAGAGGGCTGGGCCCTCATCCGTTCTGTGACATTGAGTCGCGTTTGAACACGCCTCATTTCAAGAACTCCTTTTCTCTGAGTTGGAACGATGTCTTCTAAGCTCGAAGCCGTGGCATTGACCAGTTCTTAACCTCGAATTATCCCCAGAAAGGTGCAGTCGCCTCACCGGTCGTCTGAGATCATTCTCGTCACAAGTAAGGCCAGATCATCAAGGAAACAGTTAGCACGTTGGATTCTTCGGCTTTACTGACACAGTCCCTTTCGGAGGGAGGCCTAAAGTGAACCTTTCAGGTAAGGCTCACCACAGCGCGGTATCGCCAGGAACTTGTTTGGGAGGATGTTGCCATAAGCAGCCGTGACGCACAGGTCTGGAGCAAGGTCGGACAGCCTCTCAAGAAACGCTTCCTGAACAAAGACGAGAATGACGTTAGCAGTAGGGCAAAGAGTAACGCCAAAGCAGGGAGAACTGTTATGGGACGGGAAATAGAAGGAGGTTGGTCTTCGGCGGGTCCTTGATAGTGCAGGATACGAAGTGTGGTACTGTCAGATCGTGCGAAGCCGAGTCTAATTGTGGAAAGGAAAAAGCAAGTGGAACGTCTTACTACGGAAAGGTAAAAGCATATAAAATGTCTTACTATGAAAAGGTAAAAGCAGATAGAACTCGGACCAAATGGTAGACACGTGGCAGTCTTATGTCGAAGCAAGCGACTTCCAAGGAGGAGGCGATTCTAGACTAAATGAAAAGCCGGTTTTTCGAGGATGAGAGTCGATGTTCCTACCTCCCGGGCTGTGTCCGGACACAAGAGACGGTCCTCCGGTAGACCCGACTCCAGAGCTAGGGCCGAGACTGAGGAAGGCAACAGCTTGCGACCGCGGCCTTGCTTAGCCGCGGGCTGCGAAACAACAGCCGTGATCTGCAGATCGAAAAGATCAAGTGTCAATTGAATACATAACATGGGACTATTTGACGTGAAAGGGTGGAGCTGTTTATGATGGACACACCTCCATCGGAGGGGCAGAGTCTGGATTTGGGGTCTTTTGCAGACTGAGTTACATTCGTCGTTGACCAAGTCCCGCCAGAAAGAGGGCTTAGGGCAAGCTGGTCGGAAGAACCTTCATCCTATTTCAGACAGAGAGGTACGAGAACTCGTCTCATGGCATCGACAGCAATCTCAGGCTGAGAAAAGCCCGATTAACATGGCTTCGAGACCTCACCTCAAATAGACTGTTCTCTTTAGCTGCTTCCTCAAGCAGTCTCCTCAGCACACCCGCAGCGACCTGAAGAGCAGACTATCTCATCAGTGGCCCCTCAATTTTGAGAAAGTCCATTTCTAGTTGTTCGACGTGTGGGACTGTTTCTATCCAGTTTTACCGGAAGATGAGTTATCGCTGCCGCTTTTCTGCCACTGCGCGTCGCGTCATGACCCTGCAACAAGTGTCCTTGACATGGATATATGATACAAAACTGGTATGATCAACGCCTTCAGGCAGTCCCATAAGGCAATATCACCAACTGTAGAAGACGGTCATTTGATGTTGATTAGTGAACAAAACTTGCGTTCATCCTCTCTGCTTCCACCCTAGAACGCACTGTCAGTTCCAAGCGAGATTGAAATTGGCAATTCTGCAGGTACTCCTCCAATTGTGACATTTGGATGCTAACGGGAGGAAGTTCACGTACCTCTGGAGTTCCTAAGAAGACAACTCTTCGTTTAGCCCCTTCGAGCTGCCCACTCTTCTGATGTTCGATTTCGACGGCACGTTCACTTTGCGTACCACTACTGTTGCAGCGTACTGACAGCGACAGAGCATCATAACGCTTGTTCCTGCTTGGTGGAAGCACAGTCTGAACTCTGCAGCCCCAGACTGCAGGTGAGACCTTTTTTCCCTGAACTTGATCGAACAGCGAAGACTGTTCTGCAGGCAACTGGGTTGGATGCGAAACAAACTTAGTTGGGCCCTGCCAACTGCTGACGTTACTGCACCCATGCAGTACAGCTTGCAAGCTCCTACTCTGGGACTGCCTGTCAGAGTTTGAGAGAATTGATGGCCACACTTCTTGATGGTGGTGGTGGTGGCTAGTACTTTGCCTTTCAGCAACTTCCCAGATTGGTGCTGCACCGAGCATTCTAGAAGATCCAATGTGTCGTGCTGCCAAGCTGGGGCTAAGCGCAGCTATGGTCCGTAGACGGGTTGCAAATGCCATTCTGCATTCAGCCATTGGCGAGCCCTGAGAGATATCAAGCTGGCAAACTCATATGAGGACGTGTTTCCGAAGCGGTTGCCAGCTCAGCTTGCGGAATCGTGAAAGGGGCCAAAGCGCTGGCTCATGATGTCAACAGCATTGATGCGTAGCAACTTGGGAGGGCTCTTTCAATGCAGCCAAAACTTAAAGTAGCTCTTGAGTTTCTCATTGTTTTCAATCCTTTCGGCGCTGAGCAAAGTAGGTACATACTCTGCCACTCTCTGGAGTCTGGAACATTCAACGTCCACCTCTGAGAACTGGAAAAGAACTTGAAAAGCGCACAACTTCCGTCAAGTTCTGGGCGCTTTTGTGAGTTCCTTTTCACAACATTTTTGCAGAATGGCTAAAGTTGAGAACTTTCCCCTTCCCTGCTTCCTGTTGCAGAAGTAGGAGCCGCGTTCTCATGCAGGCACGTGAGGTTACGTCTGCTGATCTCCGAATCAGACTTTCTGAAAACGCATGAAGCAATACAGTATATGGTCACTATACATGCAGCAGACTTGCTGAACAGACTTGGACTATGCATGTGACATTGTCATTGTCAATGTGAGTGGATGCTGCCCTCAAATTTTTGAAGAGGGAAGCATTCTATCTGGGATTCTACAGGCACTTAATTTCACAGACTACACACAGACAGCAGCATCATTTTGGAGCTTGTGGCGTGGCAATGAGAAACCCTGCGGTCGAGGCGTGCTTGGACTGAAGCCATGAGTTCTCCTACAGACCCAAGGTAAGCTCTTCTGCGGGCTTTGGCTCCTCCATGCAGCTTACGGATTCTGTCCATCATGGGAGACAATGCTGCTCATTCCACCAGTCAGAACACCAGGATTCTCGGCATACTGGCTATCGGCAAGTAGACTAGATTACATGGAAGTCCAGGAGCGAGGTTTGCGTCCTGGTTGACACATTCTTGAATCTGAGAGTTCTTGCTTTACCATACCACCTTCGAGTACGGTTGATTGGAAGGTGTACATTTCGCTGACGATATGCTTGTTAAAGCACTGGGCAATCAAATTGAGCTCCAAACACTTTTCTGATAACAGATTTCGAAGCATGCATACATTCCACGCTCCAGTGCAGTGCCAAGGCAATGCATGGAACGGCTGTCAGAGTGCCTCTCAATTGGATTGCAGAGCTTCATTCAAGGAAGACTTGCAGAATCCATGGCACAGATGGAAACCAAGTTTATGCAGGCTTTCGACATCCATCGAACCCTAGTGACTTCTTAACGGCCAAATCTGAGTGCTAACAATTTCCATTATGAGGCATGGTGATAGAACAGTTACAGTCTCCCCCATGACCTTCAGTCAAATGCGACCATACTCTTGCTCGAGAGATTCAGTCAACACGAGTCGGCCATCACAGAGAGGGCGCTAGCTATCAAAAGGTACACTTTTTCCAGGCCTCCTTTTAGGTGTCAATTGCAGAAAGACGTAGCCGAGAGTGAAGACTCGAGCTTATCACCATTCGTTTGTGGGAACAAGCAACATGCTGAACCTGCGAAATGAAATCTGTATAAGCAGTCTGAAAAGACTGAACTTTTTCTGCAGTACTGTCACCTGCCGATATTGGGCCACGTCAGGAACATGCTTCTTTGGGGACCAGTGTAACTTTTCGCACAGCCTGGAGGAAAGGGGCAATGTGGCCAAGTCAGGTCAGCTTGACAAACCCTAGCAAGTCTTTAACACCGTTCTTGTTAAAGTCCAAATCATCTATTACACTGGTTGCGTTCTCTGTGTTGCATTGCTCAGGTCAGCAGCTGAAAAGGTTTCAGCTTGAAAGCTGCGGTGCCACCATATGGTGGAACTTGGCATGTCTTGAAAATCTCCTTCAAGGTGCAGGGCTTGGATTGGCGTTGTCACCTGAAAGCCCGTCAAGAGGGTCAGGTAGAAGTTGAGACACCTCAGACACGACCACAGCAAGCGCTGGCAAGGCGTTTTTGCGGAAGAATACCTCATAGCACTGATGAGGCAGAAAGACAGAGAACCAGGGACCTTGTCAAGCGTTGTGCTTCGCCTTGTGAGAAGATGGTGTCTACATTCTGGCTTGCCATTCTTGCTCCGTGGTTCATGACCAACTCTCCCCTCGCCAGGCGCTGTGCCAAAGAAGGAGAAAGCCTGCCGGAATCTGCTTCTCACCGGGTACTGCAAGGTACGGTCCTTCCTTGTTTGATGGATCACTTTTAGATGCTGCTCTAGAGCATTCCAAAGCGACACCACCTCTCAGAGCTTCTACATTCTATGCTCTTACTTGTTTGAGATTGTGATGCTTTGTATGTTGTATGTTGCTTCATTGGACACAGTTGGCTTGCTTGCAATAGTTTGGTATCAACTTTGACGTCCAAATTGCTCGTCTCCGAAATGTCCGGCAGATGCCAAAGATCCTATTTGGAGGATGATAAGGAAGCCTGTGATCACACAGCCTAGACACTTGTCTTGGCCCCAGTGTCATGCATACCGTAAAAAGATTGTGCAAGGCAGTCGGTCATTGTGGACATGTCCTACTGATACTGATGCTGGTGCTTCTCCTTTCATACAGGATGAGAATGGGGGCTGTGAATACAATCATGATATTGTGGGCATAACAAGGATGGAGTGAGTAAATCTCTTTGACCATTTCAATCTGAAGCTGTTGCGTGAGTTTCCTTCTCCGGCTGAAGCCTGTGAGTCAGAGTTTGGTAAAGGCCTCAGGCAAAGGACAAATGTATTATCTGCGTCCAGAACTCCAGTGATTCTGGAGCTAGCTTGTGGACCCTCAGACCAGGCACTGTATGGTTTGCCCCTTCGAAATTGTTACCACTGTAGAAGACAGTAACAAAATGAATCTCTACACAGCCCCGCAGCTTGAGTCCTCTCAACAGTAGCTACGCTCTGACCGATTCGGTTTTGCTGGGAAACTGGGAAACCAACCGATAATGTTCCTTAACCGACTTTTTGAATCATAACCTAACCAAGCGGCTTGTTTGCAGCCCTCCTGGCTCCGCCCAGCTAAACTCTGCCAAACCGCTGGCCACATCGTCAGCCCCGACTGCTCCCGGCAATGCCCCAGCTGCCGCTCCGACGCTTGCCTCCCCTAAAAAGCCCGGGACACCTGGCGCTTCCTCATTGGTCCAGACGTTGCAAGCCCGGAGTATCCTTCCGGTGTCAGCCCCCGCGTTTGTCCCAGCAGCCGTAGCGGCTGCGCAGCGCGCGGCCTTGAACGCTTGGGGGGGCATAACGCCTGGCAAAGGAGGGGGGGGAGATGGGACGAGCCCGGGAGGGGGGGCGAACGGAACAGCGACTGGGGAGGGGGGAAACGGGGCTGAAGCACGAGCGCTGGAGGTGCTTAAAGTAGACGGTGTAGAACAAGCGAAGGTCAGCAAAAGTGGTGATTCTAGTGGCGTAAGCGTTGGGTTGGCTCTGAGCTCTAGCGTGGGCTTCGGATCCCAAGGTTTGCAAGCGGTCTCGACTGGTGTGCATACTTCCAGTAGCAGCGCCCCAGGTACTCCGACTGGTGGAAATACTCCCTCAGGCACACCGCAACCGTCCCCCGTGAAACCAAGGACGGCCGAGTCTGGGGTCTCTTTAGCTATGTCTGCCGCTCCCTCTATGAAGAGCCTTCCGGCGAACATCAACGCTGCTCCTTTTATCCCGAAATCTGCGTCCCTCAATCCTAGTAGCGGCGCGACAGGCGCCGCCACCAGCGTAGCCACCTCGCGCGTCGCAAATGCAAACGCCGCCCCGTTCGTTCCGAACAATCTCACGGGGGCGCCGAAGTTCTATCAGAGGAGCAATTCGACTCCGGGGGTTGGGTACGGGGCCCTTCCGGGGCAGGGGCCGTTTAACCCTGGTGTGAATACAGCTCGAGGGGATAGCACGATGAGCCCGAGGATGGGTGGGGGAGCGCCTGTGCACGGGCAAGGTGGCGGCATGGGGGCCATGAACTCACCCAGAGGCGTGGGAGGACCAGCGGGCATGGGGCCTTTCGACGTGCAGAGGCGACAAATGTCGCAATTCCATCAGCAGGTGAGTGCTTTCAGTGTCCAGGCAATTCAGTCCTGCGTCGCTTTCCTCACATAACATAACAATCTACTTTTGATAAGCAAAATCTGACGGACCTGAGAGGGGCTTCAGTGCTGAGATGCGGACTTTGACTCCTGCTTTTCGGTCGTCCGAAAAACGTATCTGGCAGTTTCAAACACGTCTCTTATCATACTGGGGGGAAAGTGGTGAAAAGGAAACCGACACGAAGTTGAGGATTCTGAGACTACAAATGTGATGAGTAGCCTATCACTCGCAAAAGCCGTTGCATCCTGTCGAGAGCGTTCGACTAGTCTGCTTCAATTGTTACCCGAGCTATCCCGCTTGGATTCCGAAAGTTTTGAATGATTTATCCCGTTTCGTTGCCTGTGTCGGCAGCGCGGCTTTTTGTGGTCTCCTTGGAATATTAAACGAGGCAGACCCAGAAATCTCGCACTTATCTTAGCAGGCCCTGCATCAGCAGCAGCATGCGGCCGCTGCAGTCCGCGGTCGGGGCGTCAGCCTCCCGCAGTATGCCCAACAGGGCCTCGACAACTCGCACCGCCCCTACTCCGGCCCCGCCAGTTTCGGCCTTCCCGAAGGGGACGACCCAGCCCTGGGCATGTCCTCGATGTCACCCCCCCACCCGCGCGGCGGGCCCCGTTTCGGCAACAACCAGTTTTTGGAGGGGGGTCAGCCAAACCACCGGCTCCAAGATGCGATGTCGGCCCTGAAAATGGGTGACGGCGGGGGGCGGTTTGGGGGTAACCCGTCGCTTAACCGGAGCCTAAGCGCGATGGGGATGATGTCGCCGAGGGACGAGTATCGGTCGCGAACGCCTCCGATGCCGGGGATGATGACGTCAGCGCCGGCGTCGCCGATGAAGCAACAGATGGGGAGGGCGACCCCCCCGCTGACGAGCCAGGGCCTGGGGAGGCCGCGGCCGGGGGGGCCGATGCAGCCGTTTGGGCAACGGTACGAAATCAGCAGTCTTTTGCGGATATGTATCTCGCTTCTGTTTCCGCCTTTTAAATGGAGAATCAGATGCGCCCTGGCTAAACTCCTGTTGATTGAGATGCATCCAACTTAGACTGGGACGTGGCATGGTGGTGTATTGGGGAGATTGAATTCTGGAGTCCTCGCGTCGCTTGACCTGTAGAAAGTGCTCAGCATCCCGGCAGGGCGGTTGTACTCGCATTACAGTTAAGCTTTGACCTTGTCATACTGGTGGCAGAATGCGGTCCAAGTGTTTACCGCTTGGTTCTACACTGTTCGTCCAACGTGCGGATGTTGAATAGGCATCTCAGTCCCAATAACCTTCCCTGATTCTCTCAAACGTCTGGTTCCAGGTTTCTTTCTCCGCCTCTCAGGTCGAATTCGCCGTCTCTAGGCGGCCCCGTTCCCACCGCCGCGACTCAAGTGGGCGGCGCCACCTACTTTTTCGGACCGGGTCAGGGCGCCGGCCCCTCCCAAATGGGCCTCGGGGGCCACGTCAGCATGGGGCCAGCTGGCGGCTTCGGACTGGGTCCCGGGCGGCCGGACCACAACCGGAATCGGACGGTCATCAGGCCGGGGACCGTCCAAATGGCGTCCAAGTTTCTGCCGGAGAGCTTGAGGGAGGAGATCCAGCAGCGGGCTGCTTTGGTGCAGGCGCAGGTACGAGGGTTCGGGGTTATGATTTGGATTGTGGAGACTTGGAACTGCAGACGTTCTGTATCTTTGATTCGTAGGAATTCTGTTTTCCGCCATCGACCGTGTCACCTGCTTACAACAGCAGCTACAGCCCAGTTTTGCTGACCAGGTTTGCTGGGGACCGGTCGTTTTTGCAGCTTGTATTCAGCGACGCCAACAATTGGAAAGTATTTTGTCTGCGCACAATATTCTCGCCCTGCACCCTCTGCGTTTGCTCCCTCAAAAAATTGGTGCGCTTTATGGTTCATTTCGTAAGTGGGCCCGTACAGTTCGTTACCGTAAAGGAGCCGCATCAGCTCGCGGTGGTTCGTCCCTGAAGAGTCTCGCGGGCCATCGTGCTCTATGCGGAGCAATGTGTATTATTTCTATCACATTTTCAAAGCATTTTAGACGGTGGCCCCCGCTCTTGTGGTCACTTCAAAGCCTGAAGGAAGTACTTTATTCCGAAATAACTTATCTGCTTATTCTTCCTGTCTTCAAAAGCTGTGAACATCGTTGCATCGTGCAGATAGACCCTGAGCAGGACATATCCGACCTGCCAGAGTTTGTGGGGCGGTTTCATACGCTATACCCTCTAGAAAGCAGTGAGGCCGACGGCATGAGCTCGCTCGGGGTGCGGACGACGGTCTTCAAAGGGATCAGCTCAACAGACGGCCTCGCTTACGCTATTAGGCGAATAGATCATAGACAGGTGAGCTTCATTTACCTTCAGTGTGCCGTTTTGATTCTGCTGACAGAACGGATGGAAGGAGAACGCGGACTGCAGTTTGCAGTCCGAGACCCCCACACCGATTGGTACTCGGTGCGCGCGCAGCTGTTCAAAGTAGCTGGGCTGGTTATGTTTGGGGCCCCGACCACTTCCGTGCGGCTGACCGGTCATGCAAACTTTCAGATCTGAATGCGGTTTCCGAGCCCTCGGTCGATCGTTCAAGAGTATTCGGGGTTCCGTGAGTCACGCGTGACATCCCTCACCTGCGTACAGGGGGTTCTGATCGGTGTGGGGGTCCAGATTGGAAAACTGTAGTCCATGTTCTCCTTCCACGGGTTCTGACAGTCGTCGAATCTGAGCTGAACAGCTTTGAACGATCACGCTACGGCTTGCTTGCGAAAGAGGCTTTCCTGTCAGGTCAGCTGAAAGTGACTCCTTCTGATGGCGTCATTCCTTTGGTTTCGCGAAACGTGTGTCCGTTTACCGATAGCTGCACTTACTCCCTTCAAGGCGCAGTAGAAGTACTTTTAGTGGGCTCCTACGCGACTAACTTAAAGAGCTGGGCCGTGTCTAAAGAGTTCCTCGTCCACGAGTAACAACCTTCCTGCTTCTAGCAGTTGAGGCTTCCGTTCTTTCTATAAAAGCTTTTTCATTCATCAATAAAAGAGCTAATGACACCTTCACTCCAGTATCCCTGAAACATCGACGTTTTCCGTCCTGCAATGGATCCCACAACCACCGCTTTTCCATTTTGCGATTCGCCGGCGAATTCCCTCATCATATCATTTTCGCGTTCCCCCCAGGTAATCCCGACAGCTGAGCTCGCGACCGCCGCCAACGAAACGATAGAAAGGTGGTCGCACCTTGCGGGACATCCCCACGTGGGGGTCATGCGAGAAGCGTTCGTCAGCAAAGAAATCGAAGACAGCCCCGCACTCTACTTCGCGTACGATTATTACCCTGGAGCGGTGTCGCTCGAAAACGCGCACTTGCAACAAGAACAAAGCGGGGGGGTGGTCCACTTGACGGTAAGGCTTAAGTTCAGTTCCTAGTCGTGCTGTGAATGAGATCTGGGTTGTGGTTTTGCGATGTGTCAAACTCGCTTATGTTGATCAGAAAGAAGAGCATATGCGGCTTCTTGTGATTCTTGGCTTTCTATAACGGGTTAAACATTGAATTCTTGTGTGCGCTTTTGGTGTAATCGTGGTCGCCTGGTTGTGCGATTGAGTGAGCTGAGCGTATATGCGGCTTTTAAGCAGAAATCAATCTGCACTTTTTAGGTTCTAGATTAAGATTTTAGACCTGAATCCTGTCCGCCATCCTTGACTCCGGGTTTTGCCTGACCACACTCCTGAGCCGGGTATTTTGCCTGACCAAAATCCTAACCCTCTTCCAGGTTACGGAAGACGAGCTATGGAGCTACACAATCCAGCTCGCCACCGCGCTTCGAGCAATCCATGGTGCGGGCCTCATCGCTCGGGGAGGCGCTCTCGACGCCTCGAAAGTGCTCATAACTAGCCGCGGCAGAATACGACTCTGCTCGGTGGGCTTCTTAGACGTGCTACACGGGGATCCGGGGGAAGACAAGCAGTTCCTCCAGCGGATCGACCTAGCGGAAATGGGGCGGCTGCTGCTGTCGCTGGCGTGCGGGTCGGCCATGAATGCGTCGTTGGACGTGAGGATCTGCTCTCAAGTGGCTGCTTATTAGCCTTTCTCCTTCATGCTTGTCTCTCCACACCTTTTGCTTTTGTTCTTGCTCGGGCGAGGTACCTTGACAATCGGCCGTTCTCTTGTCCTGATCACGTCAGAGGTGCTGGTATTTGCCTCCGCGGGCGTAAATTTGCTCTAGTTCTCTCGTTTTCTGGTTTTGTCGCTTTTCAAGTGGGCTCTTGATGTACAGAAGGTGTACTGCTGCAGATGCGTCCCTGGACTCTTTTGAAGTCCTTGTTTGCGGATTTGCGGCTTTTGGAAGCATGATAGCTTTGCTGATTGTGGAGGTGCTAGAAAAGGTTGAACCTAAGGACAAAAGTATAGGGGTTGGCTGGCGCAGCAACGACTCTTGTAGGTTTGCGGTCCCGGTTGTCTGCCATCCTCAAAGAGGTGGCAGTTTTGTCAAGTCTGCTTTAAACCTGTGCGCGGAACGCCTTCTGAGACCCGGTCCACACATTGGTAAAGGCACGTTGATGTCACACACACCTTCTCACGTCATCTGCGAGCAAGCTGACGTCACCCTGCCCGCTTTTGCCAGTTCATGGCCGCGCACTACTCCCCCGAGCTTGTGCGGATCACACAGGCGCTGATTGCGTCATCACCGGACAACCACGAAGTCGGTGGCCTCGCCAGCATCAAGCAACTAACCAATGTTCTGGGGGATCGCATGTTTAGCTCGGTACGCACGTTTCCACTTTCGATACAAGTGGGTCCGGTGTGACTTGCTTTGAGCGCCTCGTTAATGGCGTGCTGCACACTCGAATATTGAGCTTGTTAAGGCACCGACTCGTTGGATTGAGATTGAAGATGGATCGCGATCTGGGAGCAGATTAAACGGGAGGACTCTGTGTCCCCTGCTTCAGGATGCGCTATAGAACGCCTGTGGTTCCATGCGTTCAGTCGACTTTTGTGCGTGAAACGAAAGGAGTGCTTGTCTGTAGTGTTTAGGAATGGGAGTCCGTGATGGCTCATCAGAACGAGGTTAGACTCATGCAGTTCCGTCGATCCAAAGCGGAGGTGACATACTCTCTTCTCCAATGAGCGCAAGAATGTTCAATGCATTTCACTGTATCGTATCATATTCTGGGGGAGGATGACGTCAAGTCATTCGAGGAGTTCGCCAGCACAAAAATACATAGGTCTTGCAGCACCGGGCATCAGAATGTTGATATTCACTCGATTTGAGAGTTAGACGAAGTCTTTCCGTCTCTCGTCAACCGTTTCCAAACCGAATCGTTCAACCGTATCCTTGTTTTCCTGGCCTTCAGCTGGAGCACTGCCACGTGTACGCCGACCATTTGATGGACGAGCTCGAGAAGGAGTCGGAAAACGGGCGCCTGCTCCGCATCATCATCAAGTGCTCCATGATCAATGAGCGGCCCGACGATGACGTGGCGGAATCCAATTGGTCGGAGACCGGGGATCGTTACCTCCTCAAACTCTTCCGCGACTTTGTCTTCCACCAAACGACGGAGGAAGGGAAGCCGGCGATGGATTGGGGGCATATTATTGAGGCGCTGAACAAACTAGACGCGGGGGTTTCGGAAAAGGTGACGCTGCTGAGCAGGGACGAGCAGTCGCTGCTGGTGGCGAGCTACAAGGACCTCAAGCGGTGCCTGGAAGGGACGTACTCGGAGCTGCAAGCAAAGGTGGGGATAGCAAAGCTGCTTGTAGAAGATGCCGTACTCTCAAATCAGACGTATCATTTGATTATCATCCTATGAGAAGAGGAGGGCAACATTTCAGTGACTGAAGAGAGTTCAAAGAGACTTCGGCAATGCTTACCATGGACGTCATTTCTTGGGCATGAAGATTTCGTTCTTTCTTGCGTTTCAAAATCTGTTTGACGCTTGATATCTGTTTGTCTTGAATTTGCAGGCATCCAATGTCAAGCGCCGGCCGTCGTATCAGCCAAACCCACTTCTGTTGGGCTCCCAACCAATGGGTGCAACACAAGGAATGGGACTGAGATAAGGAGCAAAATTGGCTCCTATGCGCTTTGGTAACAAGTGTGCACTAATCTGGGGGCCGCCTCTGTCGCTAACTTCCGTGGTTTAGCTGCGCTACATTCATTAACGAGTCTATCAAAAGTTCCTTGAGACACGTCCTTGACAATTCCGAGAGTATAGGCAGTAGGCCTGGAAAGTCTGTAGGTAAGAGGTCGCCCATGCCATGGCGATAAGAATGCTGATACTACATTCAAGAGGCTATACTTGAAATTTGAAGGTTGCCAACTGAAGTGTACAATGGAGAGTATTGATTGACAAACGAATGACTGTTCTACTGAAATATGATAAGAGCCGTGCAATTGGAGCTTCTGTCATGTTCTTCGACTCAGGGAATGTCGCAAGCGGCGGCTGCCATAAAAAAGTCGTGCTGCAGTGCTTGATTCAGCTTCAAACCCTATCAAAATTTGACGCTAGCATCTTCATGTTTTCTGGGGCACCCGACCATTTGCGAGATTGGTCCCGCGAAGCCCAGTAAGATATGATACATCACACTTTTGTAGCGCTATCGAATGACATTCGACCGTCTCTAAGCGAAATGGAACTTACATGGAGACGGTCAACTTATACTGTAAGTGGTATTCGATGATAGGGTCTCGATCTGTTGATGTTCAATGGCTTCTCCAACAGCCGCACTGAGCCCGCACTATCATGCAAAAGCATATATAGGGCTACGGTGGGGCCATTTTACATGCATCCAGCAGGCTTCAATTAATCATGCCAGCAATACCGTACATTCTCTCAGGAACCGCACAAGTGTACTCGTGTTAATGCTGCAGTCCGCAGCTAGCGCAACCTTGCAGTACGTGCTTGGCAGAGGACGTGTTCAATGGCCGCGATCTCGCGCTCCAAGCTACACCCAATCACTATAGTTATAACCAATCACTGATTATACTGCCATCAAACCGCTTAGAGGCCATGATCATATCATTCTCTCGATCGGTCGATCTGACAAAACGTTGACTGCCGCCATGCATGATTCCACGTATTTGCAGTTACTAATACAATCTGCCCTCTGCCCTATTTGCATATTTATGTTTGACAACTCTAGCTCGACATCTAGCAGAAGCACAGATGTCATTATCACTTTCTTGGTGAATCTGATCCCCGTCGGCCTTGTTAGTTTGATGTCCAACCAGTTGCATCACGTTTGTTGGCAACCTCTCGACGAAAAAATGTTTGCTCTCTCCAATATGCACTTTACCCCGCGTTTGTGGGACATCCATATAGCTACTGTTCGTGACCCAGATCCAGTCCTCCAATGCTGGCACTCCTGATGCCTATGCCTGAATGCTCAACGAAGGGTTAAGAGCGAAACCCGCCCACGACCCGCTTGCGTGCTTGTCCCCCCCTGCATCGCGGCCCGCTGCTTCACAAACTCCGACACCTCCTCCCCCTCCACAAACATGTCCGCCGAGAACGACTCAATCAACGGCCTGAATTCCATCGCCCAGTTTTTCAGCTCCTCTGTGTCTGACACGTGTCTCTTGAAAACTTCTTGCGAGGAGTAGATCTCGACGCACTGCCACTCGGATGGGTTCCCGGGGCTTTGAAACGCGTGGAAGGTGATGACTCCGGGGAAGAGCTCGGCCATTTTTGCCGCCATCCATTGATACTTTTCCCTCACCTGCGGAAAAGCAAATAAACGTCTCATCATTTGTATTTCAGATTCGTGTTTGTTTCTTCCTAGATGAAAGTTTCTTCTTTGTTGTTCCTAAACATTCTTCTTTCGTGAACATGCCATTGCCTACTTCTTTTTCACTTGCGAGCCAAAGTTCCCACGCGTTGTTCTGCTTTCTCCTCCTTTCAAGTTGCTTTTTCCCTCATTCGACAATACATTCTAGAGACATGAGCAGGAATCAACCATAAATCACGTCAGGGAGTTCCTGGAAAGATGGACTGACCTTGCAGTCGGTATGTGATCCTTAACACTAAAACGCAATCCCTATAGATACGAGCGCTTGCCTGCTTCTGCCCCACTACAACGCTAGTGGCTGAAACGTTCTCTTTGCAATCAGATTCAAGGTGTCAAGGGCAGACTTTGTCGCTGTGGCATCGAGAAAATACAAACAGAGAACACAAAATGCTGACTTTTCATTCACTTGTAGAACTGTGGCGTACTGGGCAAACCTGCCATGGAGCATGCCTACAACCATTCCCACATGGCTGAATCTACTTATGTCCAATACTACCGCTAACTACACTTTCAGCTGGTGCACTTGGGGACTCCCAGTCAAAGCTCAAGATGTTGGAGTTCAGAGGTACTGAGCACCTAATTGAAGGCTGTTCCAAAGTTTCATAAGAGCCATCCTGCTGTGGGGAAAGCATAACAACCCTTTTGATGCCTTATCACCGTTCTGCTGATAATCTGACGCTCACTTCCCCCCCAGAAGTGGAGCAATGATTCAGTTGGTCAATACCCAAGCTCTGCCGACTCAGAGGTTTAAGTAGATTCCTAGAGCCCATGCTGCTGCCAAGTTTGTGCCACGCTTTCAAATCTGACATCGGGATCAAGTTTCAGGTGGAATGTCGTCATACAGTCGGCACGGTTCGTGTGTTTAAAGAAGAAGTTTGCTTATCCGATTGACAACCGAAATCCAGGTGACCGCCCTTGAGATCCTCCAGAACCGACAATGCTCACCTGTCCCTCCATTCCGGGCTTGGAGACCAGCTTGATCAACATCATCAGGGCCATGTTGCTGAAGTACAAATACAGCTAGTATGTGACAGATACTAATTCAAATTGTCTGACAGATCGACAAATCTCACAGCTACTTAAGCTTTCAACCTCCGGGCACTCTCATTGGACTCCTAGGCGGACTGTTCGCTCTCCAGTTTGGCCTACTCCTGAGCTAACCTGTCCCAGTGACGTAGACGGAAACGAGCTACGGGAGAATGCTGTTCGGAAGAGCTGCTGAAGATGACTTGAACTGCACGCCCTGAAAGGAATCCAGGACCCCGCAAGTCAAATGCCAATGGAGACAAAGCGAGAGAGCTGCGAAACCTTGAAAGCGCTTACAGAAAACCATAAATAAAGCTCATTTTCCAGCTTGGAAAGCCGGCTTTCACCTAGCTAGCTGAGCTGCAGCTGCTAGCTGCATGTCGCAGCATCATTCATGGCCGGTCGTGACGTCGTTGCACGTCATGCTTTCCGGGGATGGCAACGGCGACTGTTGTTGGCTAAGCGGCTTGCCGGTTCCTTTGGTCACGAGTTGCTCGAGAAATATGTTACAGGCTTTTATAGGAATACTTTGTAGTGCCGGTCAACCGTACCGTCAGCCTCCGACTGGGGCCGAGTCGCCAAGATTTGCGGACACTCGACAGCGCTATCGTCCAACGTGCAAAAGCGTCCGCAAGAGGGATCCCGCCGGCGTCACGGCGCTTACGCTTGTAGGTACTGGGTAGGTACTAAATTCGTTTTAACGCTGAGGGAAGCCAATTACGCGGCTCCACTCGAGTCGGCTCTTCCTTGACGTAAGTTATAACATGGCGGCATCCGATTGAAGACTTTTAAAAGCTTCTTAATAAGTGGCGCAACATCAATCTCCGCGGATCGACAGCTAGCTATACTCTCTGGCGGCATTTGTCTTCTTGTCTGCTCATCAATGAATGCCTCATGAGGTCGGACGATTACTCAAAATTGAATGGCAGCCGGGGGTTGCCAGGATTACTGAAGCCTCGTAGGAGGATTGAGAGATAGAATGTACTCGGATACTTCTCGAGACTGTATTGTACTCAGATGTGCGTATGTTACCCACACCGATCGAAAGCGCGGACTCGACATTGCGGCCACTTTGGGAGCAGTTCTTACTCCTATATCCTTAATGACATCCAAGCTCAGATTCAGATGTATATACAGATTAGGACGGACCGCGTCGCATCACAACCTGATTGTACCATGATCTTGGAATTGTCAGTTGGCTGATTACAAACGTCTATTCTCCTCTGCTGCATCGAGGGAAGTTCCTTTGTGCGGGTACAAGTAGCCTATCACCCTGCAGCCGTGTCTTTATCACCTCTCTGACCTTTTTCCAGATCAAACTACTGCTTACTGCTTTACCAGAATGCAGGCTGATGCCCTGACCTATTTACAAACACCTGAAGAGTACCTGCCACTGTCCAGGGGCCACGGATCCGGCGACCTTTTCACCGCAGCCTCAGACAAAAGGTCGCCCGAACTATCCAGCCATGATCCCCCCCGGCACAACTTCCTGCTGAACGGCGGCCGACAGTTGCATCTCCGCTTCCGCAATCGCCGCCGCTGAGAACGTTTCGAGGCCGTCGATGGCGCCCGAGGCTGGATCTGAGCCGTAGATCTCAAGCCAGTGCGCGACGAGCTCTCTGACGATCGGCAGGTCCATGTGCGGGGCGCTGGGGTTGAAGTCCCACGGTTTGGAGCCCTGCCACGTGGCAAACGATTCTGACGATTAGCGGTCAGACATACGGAAAGCTCTTTAGAGGAGACTGGTCTTGGGATAATTTAAAGGCACGTTGACCTGAATATAACCCGCTCGTGATAAAGGGCGAAGGGAGGCCGGTCGTCTTGGATAATTGGTCGCAAGATCGTTGGCTGACGTCCACAACTGAACAGAGAGAGCCGTATCAGGAAAGGGCAGATGTTCTAATAGTATTGTTGTTTGGAAAAGCTCGCCCGGTCTTGATCAAAACTGCCCCTTTGAGCTCAACACTCTTTCACAGGATGCAAAGTGAAACGGGCCATGAAAAGGGGGGCCACTGTGCAAACTCGTTTGGCAGGGCCAGAGTCGCCCTTCTTCGCGAACTATCCAGAGAAATGAGACCGTATCGAAATAGGACGAAGGAAATTTTGCTTGAGTTTCCGGGAAAGGAAAATCTGTGTACCTGATTGCTATTGATTAGTGCATCAAACGTTATACAGGCTGAGTCAAGTCTGCACGCTGCTGTGCGCACCGCATCAAAAACTTGCCGCGCCATTCAACTCTCCGCAAGCGTCCAAATAATGGCACGGCCCTGCAATTGCTGACGTCACCCGAGTCCGCCCTTCCAATGACGCTGCTGGCCTTTGCCTTCTTCAAACCAGACCCAATGCAGACCCGGGTTTTTGGCTGACGTCACACCGACCTTCGCGCAGTAGTGCACGTTCTTGACGCTGCTGACGTCGACCTTGTCGGGGTGCCACCAGAGCATGGCGAGCACCAGGTTGTACCGGTTGGGCACCGGCCGGTACGCACCGGCGAAGTACCGGTTGAGGAAGTCTTGCTCCGCCATGGGCGTCGGAGGCCACTCCGCCAGCTTCCGCAGCATGTCACTGCGCGAGAAAAGGAAACGATGATGCGCGAGAAAAAGAAACGATTATGCGCGAGACAACGGAATAGTGTTGCGCGAGAAAAGGGAATGATGAAACGCAAGGAAAGGGAACAATGTTGCGGGAAAAGTAGACAATATACGTGAGGAAAAGAACTAAAATTGCGCGAGAAATGGTGACAGATATGGATGTTACTCCGCGCAAAAACAATCTGCTTGGGTACAGAAGGGAAACAAAACACGAGTAAATGTGGCACCGCGAAAAAGGAGAAGGCAAATGCGCGAAAAGATGGGGAAGAAACATGTTACAAGTAAAGTGGACGAAGGTCCTTTAGAAAGTGTTCTACAAGAATCCACTCAACAGACAGGCGCTGGCTGCGAATAGAAGTCTTGCGAACAAGATCGTTCAGAGAAGGTCGTTCCCTTGCGATTGGCTCGGTTTCTCACACGGGGTCACATCGTTCCGGACACTCCAGTATCGAACCGGGATGAGCAACAGAAGTCATGGTCATCCAAAGAACGTCTGTTGACGAAGTAGCTCGTATCCGCCAAAGCATTTCCGATGTTCCATGGAGAGTTTCAGGATGCAGAAGTTTTGTGTGAGAGTGCACTCAAAATTGCGCAGCTGGGCTCGAAAACGGAGCATCCCCACGTTGAAGTACGAGGCCGCTTTCGTATTAAGGCGGGCCTCGAACGAACTCCGCGGCTGCGACTCAGGAATCACATTTCATTGGATTCAACATCTGAAACCTTTGGCGCGTACAGCGTTACCCTTTCAGATTTCCCCTTTGTGATATGCTTTTCTCTCAATTGACTGCAAGTGGAAAACATCGGCAAAGAGCTTACTCGAAAACGGCACAGCTGGGCTGGAAGACGAGCATCCCCGCGTTGAAGTACGGTGCCGGCTTGGGCGCGTCCCGCGGCCAAGGCAGCCGGTCGGGGACCTGCTGGCAGTAGCCCGGTCTGTACCGGGGAACGGACTGGTGCCAGATGGCGGGAGTCGCTGCCAAAGAGAAAGAACCATTTAGCCGGTCACCCAGAAACATAATGACATTTTAGACGGCCTCGGTTTCGCTTTTCTTTGTTGGTGAGTCGTATTCCTTTCAAACAAAAGGGATTAAAATCAGTCCCTTTTCCGCCCGCAGGGGCTTCAGCGCTTCCGAAAAAGAAGCGAAATGGATCTCAGCAAGGGCGTACTGGCGTTCGTGCGCCTCTAGAACGAAAGGGAAAAAAAAATGCACGCAAAGTCCAGCCACTCTTCAACGGCGCGCTGGGGTCTACGGCCGAACAAGTTCTAGCTGTCTCGACCTGTCGCTCGTCTGTCGAGTCACACACAATCCGCCAGAAGTTTGCAGGTTGAACCTTCGAAGGGAGTCTTCATCGCTCCGAAAGGCTAAAAGAGGTTGAGTAGATTCTATTGAAAGATTTGTGTTGACCGCCATAGCTTTTACCAAGTCCTAGTAATGGTCCTTTGGTCATCACGACAGCTCATATAATACCGAGGAAAGCCTCTCATTGAAGTGAATAGCACTTTCTAAAAACGAATGAAGCGCATCCGGATTTCATGAAGGATTTTCCTTTATCTAGCCTGAAAGGTCGAAGAGCCCTCTCTTCACTCCTTCACGCGAAGAGTTTCTTGGCTGAGTAGAAGAGCACTCTTCTCGGGGGATGCTCTTCGGGAAAGCTCTCCTTAGTATTTCTGAGAATTCTCTCAACAAGAACACGTCCGTGTGTATTCGACTGGGATAGCTTCCGCACAGTATTCCCAGACTGATGCACTTACCCGCACAGAAGCAGTCCATGACGGCGCTGAGCGTTCCGGGGGGGCTATTGAACAGCTCGTCCACGTTTTGGAAGAGGAGCATGTCGGCGTCCAGGTAGACCAGCTTGTCGAAGTCGTCGAACTGGGGGCAACTAGCATGAGCGCTTTTGCCAAATGGTTTCAGGTCAAACATAGAGAATCAAAAAACTATTTTGATCACAGTCGACCGGAAAGCATGTCGACGTCCAGATACACGGCCAATTGTCGAACTTCGATGTGACATGATTTTCATGAGCGGTCCTTCTTAGTGGCAAGCAACAAGAAACTACTTCATCCTGATTGAAAAGTACAGTGCAGTTCGGGCAGATGAGCTTCCTTCGGATTCCTGAGGTGGAGGAAGCTGTTTAGATGTTCTGGAAAGAGTTCCTATAATAGAACTTGATTGGAGCTCAGGAGGAGTGGGAGAGAGTGTAAGAGCTGCAGACAAACCAGCTTATTGATCGCTTGGACTTGCAAAGCAAAGTTTGCCGACTCATCTTGAGAGATCTTCTTTTCAAAAGTGAAATGCAAAGATGTGAGGACAGATTGTGGCCATGCGAGTGGACTGTTCACACGCCTTAGCCCCAGTCCCTTGAAATTGCTGAACCCGGAATTGATTCAGAGTTTCGAAGATCTGAAGCTTTTCTTGCAGATGAAGCAAGGAGCTGGGTATTGTAGACAGATCATATGATACTTGACAAGTTTCTTAACTGGTTTGGGTGTGAAAAGACACCTTTACTTCTCTTCTTGAGAGGCACGCTGAGAGGTGTTTCGCTGATGCAGGCAAGACCAACAACCAATTGCACTCGTTTATGTGTAAGCCATCCTGAGTAAAGCATTGATCAGCTATCAACATGGTACAGTGAAATGTTATATTTTATATAGCGGAAGAGTCCATGAGAATTGCAGTTCGAACCATGCCATGCACATGACCTCTTCTGTCAACCTTTTAGACTCTACTTGATCATACACCCACCTGCCAAATGCGTAGCTTCGAAAAGTTGACCGCGTAATACTCCCTCGCAAACTCAAAGCCGCACCCTCCCCCAGGGGGCGCCACCCTGGCGACCTCGCGCACTATACACCCCTCCCGCCGCAGCAGCCTCTGGTGCGCCACAGGCACACACTCCGTCACCGCAACTATGAGGGGGTAAGCGCTGTTCACTGCTCTAAGGCTTTTTGCTAATGCGACCGCGCCCTTGACGTAGTCCCCAGAGCCAGTGAGGAAGCTCACGAACGCACGCCGTTGCTGGTGGGGGCAGGCTGTCGTCAGCGCCAGCTCATCCATTTCTGTTCTGCTGGGGTTTGCTCTGGCCTCAACACCCCCTGCCACCAGCCAAGCGAAAATGCAACCTGCTTTGCCCTGTGACAAGTTTCTGGTGCGGAGAGGAAAGAACCTGCAAGACACCCTGTTGAGATGGAATTGCCGAAAATTCCAGCTCGAGGCAAAGCAGACAAGTTCTCTCTTCTGCTCCTGGAGTGGCTCTCCATCTTGTCGAAGTGCTTGGTGTTGATATGTATGAGCTCTGTGTGCGAAAAGATTCTTATCCGCATGGCTCAAAGGTGCATGCGGCTGCCACATTGAACTTGCGTGGCCATGCACGAAGACTACCTATGGGCATGTATTACATCATTACGAATCTTTGCTCGAAAAAAATTCCACAAGATTTAATTCCAACCTGCCCCCAAAGTCTGGGCGGATCACTCTTTGAATGATAATGATAAATGCTCGCAAGCGCAGCGTTCACGGTTTCCACCATTTGCCAGAGCTCTGCAATTGTAAGATTACCGCCCGCGCGCCCTTGTGCCGTATGTTTCAGGTACGTACCTTTCCGGCCTGGCTTTGAAATTGGTTCCGCTGTAGGTCACAGATCCCCCCAATCTCCGAGTCCCTGCGGTTGTCGAGTTCCGCTGGGCCAGTTCCGCCCAGATACCGGTGCACGCGCGCGAAAGAGAATGTGTTGTGACCTCCTTCAAAGTAGGTGACGGTTGGTTTTGGACCCGTACAATCGACCTGAATATGTACAGAAGTCCACAGATTTATCGGTTTGTGGCTTTGTGGGACTACAGCACTTCTTGGCCCTTGGCCCTGGGCATCCGCTAAAATTATTACATGTCGAGCATTGCTCGCGTTGCGTTATAGGTAGCTCGCATATGTACGTACATCGGAGGCTCTGGCAACGGGTTGTAAACTTCAATTCCTCTCCCTTGCGCTAGGAGGACATCATTCAATCCTGTTATCCTTCGCTGATGGATGGAGGATTGCAGCGTGAATCAAAGTTCGAGATTGACCGCCTTCTTTCGGGAAGCTGTAGTATTTCTGGTGCAAAAGAACGGAGATTGGGAGCAATCTGTAGGAGTCAGCACGCATGAGGTGATTGGTATGAGATGAGCCTGAGGGCCATTTGTTGCAGCTAATCCTGCCGGGCACAACACGGCGGACAAAATGGCAGACATTAGGGCGGACAAGGATGCGGCTAGGGAAAGCAGGGATGACTCAGACCCTAAAAAGGGTCTGGTGGACACCAGCTTTGCAGCGGGGTTTGAGACCAAGGCGTTCGAGGCCCTTGAGAGGGACTTTCAGGAGGTGAGTCGTAGCGCCTAGAATCGATACCTCAAATTCTGGAACCCATGATACTGCCAGGTTGCGCAGCCAATTAAGAAATGACACTTTTCCGGGAGGAAGGCGATCGGATGGAGGAAACTCATAACCTGATCTCTCAAAGTGGCATGTTATTGGGGCATCAGCTCGGTTGTCCAGGCTGCTGCCAAAAAAGCTGCCTAGTGCCAGGCTGATGAGATATTGAGCAAATGTGGGGTTCGTTCATATACAGGCTCAGCTCTTGAGATTTGGTAAAGTGCAATGGTAGAAGCTGTGCAGCTGCTTGCCGTAATCACTGCATTGCAAGTGCAATGAGCTCACTTCCAAGTGGCCAGAAAATGAGCATTTCACCATCTGACCCTTCAAGTGGCAAGCAGAATCAAGCCGGTCTTCTTCAATGCTTTCAGGACGCTATTGCGCCTCCTGTTAATCTGCACAGCAGCTTCTACTTCACCTTCTTTTACCTGGCTTCGCCTGCTCCAAGCCACAAAGGCAGTTGACCGTGTGAATCTTTGTGCTGCCTGAGCGCAGGTGTTGACGGAGCTCCAAGGAGACAAGAGCTTGGAGAGGTTCCGGTTGGAGTACGAAAAGATCCACCGGGCACTCAAGAAGTCTCATGGTGCGTGTCCAGCATTTCAGGGACAGCGTTTTAGCAATTGTTTTTTGCATCCTCCACAGGATATACTCAAACACAGGGACGCACCATGCTAAAAGAAAGACGAGATCTCTAGAGTAGTTGCATGCTTGAGTATTCACCGTACTCAATCATGAGGATGTCTCACACCGTTGCTTAGATTGGTTTTATCTGGGAGAATGGCAGTGGGCCCAGTGGTTCCTTGGCGGGTAGCTCAACACCTTTGACAGCTCAGTCTTAGCGCCCCGCTTAGCGCAGTACAGAGGAATGGGAGCGAAAGTGCTCAGCATTCCTACCAGCCTGAGCAGTTGAAACGGCATACCGTCTGACTTCCATAGGATGCCAGACTCAACTTTAAAGTCAGGTAGAAAAGGAGGAAACCTGATATAGTTGCAATGGCGACTTAAGGCAAAGGATGACAAAGAAGCAGGTTAAGAATTGTCAGGAAAGCGCGGCAATGCCCTCTTTTTCCACTAGCATAGAAAGGTGCAGCTTGCAGGCAAGCAGCACAGGGAGCGAAACTCCGCTGTTTATGCTCTTTGATGCAATGCGCAGTGAAGCAAGCTTAGGCGAGTGAACGCGTGATTGAAAATTAATCCATCGCTTTGCAGAGAGCGAGAAGCGGCTGATCAAGAAGTGCCGGGAGCTGAACAACGAGATCGTGAGCAATGCGGCCAAGGTGCAGACGGCGCTCAAGCTGAGCGAGGAAGACCAGGCAACCATCGGGGCGCTCAAGAAGGAGATCGAAAAGGCATGGAAGATGGTGGATGCAAGCCACGAGAAGGAGGCCAAGGCAAAGGAAAACATCCAGTGAGTGCATCGCTGCATTGCTTTCAACTTTTTGGCAGAATTCAAACGTGAAACTTTCATGCTGATACACTAGCTTTGAAAGTTGGGGGTTAAGTTTGCAGGCAAAGGAGAAATATCTAGCGACTGCTATTTACTGCACTTGTAATAGGCCATCTGGGAATGTGAAGAACCAAGACCACAATACCCGCCTGCGCATTACCTGAACGGTCTGCACACAACAGGCCTCTTGAGCGAGCGGAGACCACAGCATGAAAAGCTGGTTGTTACTCGCGTTTCGACTAGCATGCATTCCCAGCGTGCTTTCGCAATCAGTGGGAACGAGCCGTGAAACGTAGATATGGCACTCTGGGCTCTATTCAGTGTCAGTGCAGAGAGCTACTGAGGGCGTCCGGCCAGAAATAGAGAGAAGGAAGGAGCGGCGGAGCAGGGAAATGGCACGAAGACCTTACTGTGGCTTTGCTGATGAAAAGATGACAGGGTATTGTTGACACTTTGTGTGTTCGATAGGTCTTCCGATACTTCCGCAGAAATGAAAACCGCCTGAAGATCCCCTTGTCCCCTGAATATCCCTCGCCTTTTACCGTCCGCTTCTTTCATTTACGCTGCCTTGTGTCACAATTGCTTGCTCCGCGGCGACCTTATTCTGAGTATTTACCGCGCAGCTTGTGGTCGTTTGTCCTTGGATGTGACTTCTGCTTTTTACAAGACTCGAACGAAAAGTAGAGTTGTCTTCGCAAAAGCTTACCTCTAATCGGGCCGCGTGCCTCTGATGTTCGCAGGCAACTGAAGCTGGAGATAACAAACCTGAGCCGACTGGTGGAGCAGGGGGCAGGCCTCAACGTGGGTCAAGAAAACACGGTAAGGCCTTTCCAACAGATTCGAGGAACGAGGGAATTCATGTAGAACAAACAGCGCATAGAGCTCGTTTAGAGGAAGAGACCTCCGAGCACCCAGCACGGCCCTTGGCGAAGGGCAAGCTGCTTTCGACCACCTTGATGTTGATCACTATGTTGGCCGAAGAGCACCACGATTTCTCACTACGATGTCTTGAAAAGAGCTTTTTACAGAATGCAGAGCTGTCGGTCAGTGAGCGATCTCAAACAATGAACGGTCTGTTGAGCAAAGTGGTGCAGAAAGGCAGATTTAGACAGATAAGATCAACTTTGTGCTGTTCTTTGAAAATCGTACCATATTTGCAAACGAAACATGCAATAATTACAATGTTCCTCGAACAGATGGAACGGAGATACTCGTGTGCGTATGTCAAGAACCTACCGGAGCAGCAGACTGAACAAAACTGATACGGTGGAGACTAACAGCAAACCGGTAAAGTAGACACATAGACTGCAAATACATTCATCCGGTCCCCGTTCCGTTCTTCCGTTGACTATTCCGTTCGTTCCGTGCAGGTCAACGAGCTGTTGAAGCAGAAGGAGGAGCTGATCAAGGAGCGCGACTCCCAGGTGGACCTCATCGTGCAACTCCGGACGGAAGTCGTCAACAACAATCAAAAGCTGCGCGGGGCAGAGCAAGACAAGATTGCGATGGAGCACGAGATTGCGAAACTGAGGGACAGCATCGCAGCAAGGAAAGCGGACGAGGAGAGGTAAGGTTTCTGCTCTAAAAGTTTGTGTCTTAATCACTATGAGGAGTCAGAAAGCTGATCTAGAAAAGAAAAGGAAAGAATGGTCAAAAGCGGCGCGGGGCAGAATAGCAGAACAGGACAGGATTGCGATGGAGCACGAGCATTGCAAAGCTGCGGGACAGCTTGCGGAGCGCAAGGCGGACGAAGAGAGGTGAGAGTTCTTTGACGCCTTGCTTTTCCGTGTTCCCTACCCTGTTGAGGTTTCGAGGACCCAGACGATTTGGAAGAAGGATATGTGATCTTGACCAGGACCTGATTGTCACGGATTACGAGGCTAGCAGCCCTGAGAGACAGCATTGCGGCAAGAAAAGCGGAGAGATGCGCAAGAAGGAACGCATTAAGAAAGAGCTGAAGGACCTGAGAGCGTCGCTGGAGGCTTGAATGCGGCAAGCGGAACGGATTGCATAGTTGTAGCATTCTCGAACGCCCTGAAACACAATACCATTCTCAGATGTTTCATTCTTTTCTTGCAGGGAGATGCGCAAGAAGGAACGGATGGAGAAGGAGCTGAAGGACCTGAAAGCGTCGCTGGAGATGAAGAGCGCGGACATCAAGACGAAGCAAGGGTCGATCGCGCTGGGGCAAGAGCAGATCTCCAAGCTGGAGCATATGCTGAAAGAGCAGAAGAGCGCGACTGAGAAGGGGCAGAAAGAACTGGACGGACTGAATCAGAAGGTAGGCGTACTTCTCTCTGCGTCACTAGCTTGCATCAACGAACTTAGACATAGGTAGAGTCTCTTGGGTTTGAATCATGACATCCGACTTCTTTGGAGCGAAGCGTGTAGTAAACGCGCTAGGCGACTGTATCTGGATCATCTCAGAGATGACACGTTTTATACTATCATGTGCCTGAAACGCTTGACCCCCGCGAGCAAACAAGGCCTTCTTTCTCCAAGCAGAAAGGCAGATGTAAACAAGGCAGAAGACCCTGCAGGCAAGGGCACACAAACTTGCGAAAGGCCGTGCAGTGATCAATGAATTCTGTGGTCAGTCTCTTGCCATTCGCGAAAGCCTTAGCTTGGAACGACGACGGAAACGGAGCGCACCCAATCAGCCGTGAATCTTTAATACCACTTTCCCACACCTTCGTTTTTGTCACTTGATTGGTTCTTCTTCTGAAGGATATCAAACTTTGTGCCCCAGGTGACAAAGCTGCACGCAGATCTGGAGGAGCAGATTCACACCAACACGCAGCTGCTGGCCGAGAACAGCCAGAAGCAAGTCGAGCTTAAACTGAAGGAAGAGGAGATCGCGTCTATCAAGCTGGAGGCGGTTCGCGTGAACAAGCTGCGGGAAACGACGCTGAACAAGATGAAGCTGCTCGAGAAGCAGAAGACGGAGGTGGAGAAGCAGAGGGATGACGTCCGGGCTGAGATCATGGTAAGGGTTTGCCTTTTAGCTTGGGAACTTATTAATTCTTGTTCGTTATTTTGAATGCCATCTGGAAGTCAAGGAGTTTGAGACGAAGACAGTAATCAAGATGAAGCTGCTGGAGAAGCACAAGGCCGAAGTGGAGAAGCAAAGGAATGACGTGCGCGCCGAAACCAAGGTGAGAAATGAGTACATTGGGGTTTGGGATGCTTTGGATTCTTGTGGGGTTTGCATGCTTCTATAGCTTCAAGTGTATTTGATCCCCAGCATTTGTGAGAAAATGATAGTAAACGAAATAAAGCTTCTGGATAAGCAGAAGTTAAAGTAGAAGAAGCAGAGCGATGACGTGCGCGCGGAGATCATGGTGAGGGTTTCACATTTACAAAATTCTGACAGCTTGTGGAGCGTGTTTACGATTGTAGTAGATCTGGAGTTTTAGAAGTTTGAGATGGGGACGTTGAACGAGATGAAGCAGCTCGAGAAGCAAAAAGAGGAAGCGGAGGGGCAGAAGGATGACATGCGCACGGAAATGGATTGAAGAATCTGTTAAGCTACCGGACTTTTTTAAGACAGAGCTGCTGCAGCAAAGGGCTGGTGGATGTGCAGAAACAGCGGTACAGACTTAGAATTCCAAGCTGCAAACTTGAAGTCTGAAGAATCTTCTAACCTTGAACTCCATAATTATAGGCCCTAGAGTGCGACGTGGAGGCGCGCGGAAGGCCACGGAAGTCGAGGGACGATGGGACTCTTCGCGCATTAACCAATTTTCAGATGCTCCTGACCCACTAGCTTATCGGCTAACCTCGATTTGTTATATCATAGGCCCTCCAGCGTCACTTGGAGGAGCAGCGAAGAGCCACGGAAGCAGCGAGCAGATGGGATTCTTCACGCTTGAACTCCTTCTGAGAGGCCCCTTGAACCCACTACATTAGCCTGCTAACTACTTCGCTTTAACCGCAGGCATTGGAGCGTGACGTGGAGGCGCAGCGGAAGGCCACGGACGCGGAGAAGCGGAAGCAGGACGAGCTTACGCGCGAGCGCGACGTCCTCAACAAGCTGAAGACGCAGGCCGAGAATGCGACCACGAAGCAACAGGACTTGGTTAGGGTTAACGAGGGCGCGAAGAAGAACCTGGAGCAGGAGATCCAGGGCTACCGAGCGGAAGCGGAACGGCAGCAGAAGCTGATCTTGCAACTAGAGAGGGAGAGGGAGAAGTACGGGGCCGAGGCGTCGCAGGTTGGGGCAAAGTATCTGCAGGTAAGTGGCCGAGGTGGTGAAAGGGGCTTTCGGAAGAGGAGGAGTACTCGTCTAGGCTGAGGTTTATTGTTTCGTGTGGAGTTTCCTGGCTTGAAGAGACTTTTGCGTTTCCGACCCAAGACGAAGACTTTCTGGAGGCCGTCTAAACCCAAGACGCTAAACACCATTTGAGAATCTGTTTGGCGCGATCATGTATCCTTCTAAAGAGCTGTGAAAGTGGGTGGGAGCAAGAACGAACTTGCAATAGTCAAGACTGGATCCAGGCGCGTCGATTTCAGAAGAACGAGACTTTTCGTATTGGGGGAGGGGAAACCTCTGCTCTGACACCCTCACTCACTGTCCTTGCGCCACGTGGCAGGCTCTTGAGGAGGTCAAGGTGCGCGAGATGGCGATCCTGGACCTGCAGAGGAAGATCGTAGACGGTGAGAACAAGCTGAAGCAGCAGCAGAACCTGTACGAGGCGGTCCGCTCCGACCGCAACCTCTACTCCAAGAACCTCATTGAGGCGCAGGTGCGTCTCAGAGGGCCTAGAAGCTGAGGACTGGCAGTTTCGACTTTGAGCCTCGGGACTTCATTTTGTCTTGAGGGTATGACTGTGTGATTTGCCCGGACGCAAAATCCACTTCAAGAGCCACATGGAAGGACAGGTGCACCCGCGCAGGCTCGCGGGCGTTTTGATCTCGCTCGTTTGATACAGTTAGCTTATCCCAAGCATTCTGCCGGATATAGTGTCCACTAATCTAGACTGATTTCACCCAGCATCGGACTGAGTAGCTTTCACTAATTTCTCCATAAATCCGGAGGATGCTTGGGAGAAGCTTTAAGTCTTTGGGTTTGAGGACTGCCACTTCGGACTCTCAAGCCGTGGTATTGACATACTTCCTTTGATGTGTTATCCTTTTCAAACCCAACTGTTAACCCAAAGATCGAGGCACAAAAGCGCGCGCTCCCAGGCTCGCGCGCCAACTCGCGCGTGTCTTGAAGCAAATCAGAGTTTCCAAAAATGGTTCTTTGGAGTCTCGAGCCTTGGTAGCTGGTCCCCAATCAGGTTCGACGAACGTGTCTTCCTGTTTGCCCGCAGCCTCGATCTGCTAGTTGTTTCATTGAGGTGCCGGTAAACACGGAGGCCTTTTGAAAACTCCTTTTTCCGACCTGGAGAAGTAAACTTGGCGTTTCTATCCTCTTGTAAATGTAGGATCTAAAGGCAGCTTGTGTCGGTTGACCTGTGTTAAGAGACATATGCACATTTGGGCATTCGTCGCAACGCTTACTAAGACTTGCACCGAGCCCGGGTTAATCAGCTTTCTGCTGTCGAATTGTTTCAAAAGCGGATGCCTACATACCGTGCGTACTGATTCGGAGTCGACTCAGAAGCTGGGAAGTGCATCTTTCACACCTTTCTTCGTAACGAAGCAACCGGGCCATTCATGTTTAGGTTTTTTTCACCATTTGGTCTGCCACCTTTGAAGACGACATGTGGAAAAGCATAGAGCATTCGGAGACTGCGACTTACGAGAACCATGTAACAGCTGAAATGGTAAGCCTCCGAAGGTCCTTTGCCTCAAGAAAGTTCCGTCTTCGCTGCAGGACGAGATCGAGGAGATGAAGCGCAAGTTCAAGATCATGAACCACCAAGTGGAGCAGCTCAAGGAGGAGATCGGGGCCAAGGACTTGGCGCTCGTGAAGGAACACTTCGACCACATGAAGGTGCGAGAATATGGACGATCCTCTTTTCTGGCTTGAAAGTATTTTGCAAAATAGATGCAACAAGATCTGAACGGTTGCTCCGCTTCTATGGCTTGGAGTTGGAAAGTATACGTTTCAGGCCTCTCCATTTCAGGACTTTCGCAAAGATTCAAAGATTTCCGCTCGAGACTCACATGGCAAGTATGGCCGCTGTTGCAATTCGTTGTTGAATCCAGCACAGTCAAGCGGCGGTTCCGGGCATAGAAGTCGATGTGATTTTGCTCGACCGATGAAGAGTTCGCCGAATGCATCCCCAGGATTTACACTGATTCTCAGAAATCCGACTCGCACTTTCAAGGATGTAGCCATTCTTGTGCAGGTGGACAAGGAAAAGGAGAGCCTCCGCTTCGAGCTCAACAAGACGCAGACCCAGGTAACGGAAGCGGAATCCGCCATCGCGAGCCAGAAGGCGGAAATCGAGAAGCTAAACCACATCATCACGGAAGCCGACTCTGAGCGGCTGCGCCAAAAGAAGGAGTACGATGTCGTCATCAACGAGAGGGACATCCTGGGGACGCAGGTGAGGATTGACGTCAGCAAGAAGTCTGCCCGCGACTGATCGAATCTGTGTTCCGCTGTTCTCGCGAGAACAAACTTTGCGTGAAAACGATCCAGCGAAAACCTCCGCCTTCTATACAGAGAACCAGTACTCTGAAGAACACGCTAATCAAAAGTCATATCAGTGCCGCGATAGACTAACCGGAAAGTAGCAGAAATCCCCCTCTCATGCGGTGAATTCTGTCCAAAGTTTCTCTCCATTCCATTCCGCTCGTTGGCATCGATCCGGCGGAACGACGATCTCACGCCTCTGTACAAGGTGATTGAAATTCGCAGTCAAATTTGACCGAGAGCATCAGCCCGTAATGCAGTCACAAAAGCACAGTCAAAACTTGTTTTCATTCCGTAAGACAAAACTTCCCCCCTATTCCGTTGTCCAGAGCTGATCCGGCGGAACGAAGAGCTCACTCTTTTGTACCAGAAGATTAAGATTCAGCATTTACCAAGGGCCACTTCCGATACCACAACCGCTACCAACAATCAAAACTCTACCGTATTGCCACGAAAGGATATTTACCACCCCTCTCTTTTCCGCTCTCGCCAGTTGATCCGGCGGAACGACGAGCTCGCTCTGCTGTACGAGAAGATCAAGATCCAGCAGTCAACTCTGACCAAGGGCCATATCCAGTATCGCGACCGGTTGAACGAGATCCGGGTTCTGAAGATCAAGCTGCAAGACCTGAAGCGGGAACTGGGCATTCTTTTGCACTCGGTACAAAACATCGACGTATTGAAGAGGGAGGTTCATCATCTAGGGAGGGAGCTTCTACAAGAACGAACGAAGGTTAGTAATCTCAGCGCATATCATAGGCGGCTTATGCCTTCCCAACGAGTCTTTAAAATAGTCGTCATTTCGCTTTCAATGAAAACTTTGAACTTCCCGATGAGAGAGTTACAGTATCTCGGGAGGAAGCTGCTGTTGGAGCGGATGAAGGTAAGACTGTAGAAGGTCTATGGTAAGGACATCATGTCACCTATGCTTTGTGAATTTTGTTGCACTGAGTGCAATTCATCGACGCTCTGAAGAGGAAGGTACCCCATCTTGGAGAATAATGCTTCTACAAGAGTGGACAGAGGTAAAACATCTTAGCGCGCCTATGATATGGGTGATTTAACCAGAAAGTGTCTTTTATTCTTAACTCCAAACAGACGCAATCTTACAAGGGTGTCCTATCTCAATCGCATGCAGCGCAACTCTCCGCGTGCGGTAAGGCTGGTTATTCGGGGAGCGCTTTGCAGGCAGTTATGGAATTTTCCAGCATCAGAGGAACAGTTTGAAGGAGGACCGGTCCGTTTTGAAAAAAGGATTGTGAGGTCCAAAATACAGAATCCCGTCCCTGCTGCTTCATGTAACCCGCTTTCAGGAGCGCCCCCTCAAGTTATGAAGCTTCGAATTGGTCTGAGAGTTCTCCGTCCGCTTGTTTGCAGGTGAAAGCGCTCTCCGAGGAGCTGGAGAACCCGCTGAACGTGCACCGGTGGCGAAAACTAGAGGGCAGCGAGCCGGAGACGTTCGAGATGATCCAGAAGATCCAAATGCTGCAGAAGCGGCTCATCTCAAAGACGGAAGAGGTGAGACCTTAGACGGATTCCGAAAGCATGAACGTCCGCTACTTTGTTCAAGTATACGCTTTGTTGGAGACGGCTGAAGGTGAACCACCAATGAAGGTGGACGTAATCTTGGTGTGCTATACAAGCCGCATTTGGAAGACGCAGGAAATGTATCTCCACTCCTGAGCTATCCTCAACTAGAATTGATTTTGAAGGCCGTCGAGGGACCTGCTGTTGAAGGAGGAGGAGAAACGTGCTCGTCATCTTCTCTTTACAAGGACCAACTCGCCCTACCGAGGGGCACATTCTGCAATGATATATCAGCGCAACATACATTGTGCTTACGCGAAAATCGATTGGCCCAAACTTCGCAGGCGGTGGAGAAAGACCTGCTGATCCAGGAGAAGGAGAAGCTGTACATCGAGCTGAAGAACATTCTGGCGCGGCAGCCCGGGCCGGAAGTCGCGGATCAGCTGAGCGTGTATCAGGGCAACCTGCGGGAGAAGACGAAACAGATGAAGGCCATGGCGGCAGAGCTCAACATGTACCAGGTAGGTGTACCAGAAACACTGGTATGATGCAGAGCCTTTCATTTTTGTGCTTCCGTTCGAAAGGTGACTTTCTGCTAGCTGGGACGGAGGATATGGCTGCCTGAAAATATTCAAATGCATAAATGCACCGATGTGTTAACGGCCGTGGGCACTAGATTGTAAATCAAAACGCGGCAACTGTCGAAACATCTGAATTTTTGCACAGGACCGAACAAAGTCGAATGTATTGGGAGATTGTGTCAGCCTTTTTGTTAATTTGCGTGCGGTCGACTCGTCCTCCGAGGATAGTCGGGATGCTGGATTGGACACGCCCATCCTTTCTGCTCTCTGCGGTCGATTGCGACCTCCACCTTGCTTCTCAAAGCAGACTTTTATATAGTAGCTGCAAAACGCAAATCATCACAAGCAGTCACGTCACTACTCTTCAATTGGGCGCACCTTGCCCAACTTTTTGAGTACTGGTGGCGAGGCAGCGAGCCAAACCCAGAAGTCAGAAAAAAGGTGAACGCCTTGCTTGAACCAATGCAAGTCAACCTCTGAGTCAAACTCTTATCTCTTTTTTTCCTTGTCCTACAGGCCCAAGTAAACGAGTACAAGTACGAGATCGAGCGGCTGACGCGGGAGCTCGAGTCAATAAAGAAGAAGTACTACGAGGCGAAGAAGCGGGAGCAGGCAGAGCGAGAGAAGAGCAAGTCTCTCGACGGGTCAGACGCAGCCGTAAAGCAGGCCCTGTTGCGCAGCATGCAACAACCGAGGTTCACGGGAGGGGGTTTCAGCATATCCAGTAACTAACTTATGGACGGAACAGTGGCGTTTTCGAAGCGCGGCCGTCCGAGCGTGTATATATATTATCCACTAGCAACATACATTGTCGAACACGTCCTTAACGACGCGAATGATCATACTTGCGTGGTAATGTTACCAGTTTCCGTTTCAGCCTTTGCATGGAACGGTCTCTCACCTTGCATGTGCATGTGAAGCAATGCTTTGAATGAAGATGCAGTGATTCAAATGGAGTCGACTATACCGACCCTCGGATGTCTGTTCTTTCGCATACACGTCATGGATATCTCTTAATTCAACGCGTGCCACCAGTTGCTGCGCCGCGCACTTTCCCAAAAGTAAAAAGCTCATTGAGCCGTTAACGGCGCGCTTCATGAGGTTGCAAGTGTGGGCCGTAATCACACAGATGATCACAAAGGCTTAAGTTAAAGAGACCTTATAATGGCTCAAGCGGCTTATCATGCGCATGCTATAATATGTGTGGCAGAGTAGGTGAAGTTTCAAGTTTGGGCCGGCCGCCGACCTTCAACGACTAATGATAGGCTGCATGAGTGCCCTCATTTCCATGAGCCCTGACCCGGCGCCGGAACCTTGAATCAATGGTTGTTCGACGTGTGTGAGGCCGGCCGGACATACTTAACTCTCCGCTTACTTGCAACAATACTGTAAACATTAATTTCATTCAACAATACGGTATTCGGTTTTCCAATCTGGAAACGAACAAACGAACTGAGCTTTTTAATGCATGCGTCAAAGGGCGAACCTAGGACAATGCGGCCAGTTGAGTGAATACCCAGGGCGATTCTCCGACGCCTAATCCTTACTCTGAAGCACATGTAAGATGCATAATGATGTGGCTTGTTAGCTTGTCAAGGTTCGTTCACCAACATTTACGCTTCGCTTGCAAGCTGGACTGCTTCATGGAAGTCGAAAGAGTGGCGACCTGACGTGAACCGTTTCATATGCTGCCGGAAGGGGAGCGTTCTGCTTGCCGGCATCGACAAACTGCATAGGAAGAGTGCTTACGGGTCAGCATCATTTGGGGCCGCTAGTCCAAAGACAACTGAGCGGCGGTTCTGTTATCAATCTTAAGTAAACAGGCTGGTTGAATAGCATTCTGCATTGACAACATTGTCCACCCGAACTGCGGACGTGTTGCGAGTCGATTATTACAGAGCTACTCTTCCGCTTGTACCACTGGCGCTGAACATGGTACAGATTTGATAACTGTAAGGAGAACCTCATTATCTGCGCACCGTTTCGCATCAGAAGTTGCCTTGCCGAATGGAAATTATAGCTGATTACCCTAGAATGTAAGGAATTTACGCAAGGAGAGCCAAAGTGTCTGCATAGGGACTCACGTCAATGGTTGCTTCCCAAACAGTCGAACCAGCGGGTCGCCGCTCGTGGCCGACAGCTTCTGCCGCTCTTTGTAGCTCAACGACTCTTGAGTTATCACCTGAAAGAGAGGAACTTTTCATTTGCTAATGTCAACCTCAGGTTTCAGCATCATATCGAATCATGCCTTTAGGATGGACCAGGTCTTCAGATATCTAAAAAGCAAGACCGTGAATCTGCCCTTTATTTTTTTGCGCAATTCTCTCACAAATGCATGATTCAGAATGAAGGCCGCTCTCTTTTGGCAATGGCAGCGGAAGCGCACAACGTGTGTAACAATCTTTCAGCAACTTTCAAATTGTCACCTGCGCAGGCCACCAAGAACCCCCGCTCCTGACCCAAACGACGTCTTCCGCACCGCTCCTTCCGCTTCCGCTCTTTTCCGCGACGGAACCTGACCTGGCTCTCCTCTCTCCCCATCCGTTCTGCGGATCGAGCGGCCTTCCGTCCTCAGCCTTTCTCTTCCTTTCCGGACCAGAGATTCCGTCCGTTCCGTGCTGGTCTTCAGCGGATCTTTCCGGCGGGTTGGGAAAGGGGCGACTCTGGTCATCAAGAGACTCTGGCTGCTTCTCCTCAAAGCGTGACGCTCTCTGCGGTTCATTATGAGGCGCTGATTGGAGTTCCGGCGACGCTGCAGTGGTAACGACAGGCTCTGAGGACGCCATCTGCATCTGAAACACCGTTGCGTCCTTTTCAGCCGTCTCCAAGTGTCGTCCAGGCGCCTTGCTCGTCAGCTCTTTACCGACCGGGTTACGCATAACCGACCGCCATCCCCAGGTAACGGCAGCCGGTGGAGGGATCGGGGGAGGCGAACCGGGCACAAAAACTCTCTGGCTTTCCGGCTCGGTGCTGTCCACCCCTAGTTGCGTCACGATGTCCTCCACCATTGCGTCAGCCGCGTCGATTGCTGACGCATCGTGGCAGCTTTCTGACGTCATTCTGGCGAGGTGTGACTCTGCTTCTCGTTCCTTTGCCTGAGCCAGGAGCAGAGCCGACACGCCGGTGATTACTTCGGGACCTGGGATCCCCTCGATTGCGGCCGGTTTAATCCTATCCCGGGCACTTTCGCTTTCTTCGACGCCCCGAAGCAACTGGTCGGTGAAAGCGAAAGGATCGGCGGGGGCTCTCGCTGGGGGCTTCTTTACCAACTCAGGCTTCTTGCTGTTCAACAGAACAGTCTGCTTTCCCCTTCCCTTCCAAACGTTTGCTTTCTCCGTTGCCTTCCCATCCTCTGACGCATCGCCCCATCTCATGTTCTGACGCGCTTCCAGCGCGGCCGCCCCCGATCCCGCCGGCGATTGCGCTCCGCCTTGCGCGTACGCGCGCGCATCGGCACGAGCTACCAACATAGTGAGCGTCGGCTGACCTAGCGGTGGCTCAGTATCTTCTTGTGCTCGCGCGCCCGCGCCGGCCGCGCTCTCGACCTCCGCGCGCGCTTCGTCTGCCACGCCCGCGCGCGCACTTGACAGGAGCTCGCGCGTCGCCTGAGCGGACGGCTCCGGCTCTGATCGGGCGCGCGCGTTGGTTGCGTCCGCGCTCCCTATCGCCACCGCGCGCGCGACGAGATCCGCTCCTGAGCGCGCTCCTTGAAGGAAAGGGGAATCGCGCGTCGCGTCAGGCCGCAGCAGCGGCTCCGGCTCGACTTGAACGGAAGGTGTAGCCGCGGCCGCGGGAGCGCCGGGTTGGGGCGGCAGCGGGGTTTTGCGGGCGAGCAGAAGCCAGGCGTCGGGCAGCGCGCGCACATGCCTGCGAGAAGCAGAAGGTTGGTGTCTTCGAAGCAGCAAAGATTGGTGCGAATCACCCTCAGTTGACAAGGAGACCCGGAAATTGTAGCCTTCCGCGAACGTTTCGATGCTGGACACACAGCAACCAAGAGCACGTGCTTGCATTTGCAGATTGAGATCTCGTTTTGGGCTCGTAAGAGAAGCCTGAACGCCGATCTGGACTGGAACTTCCAATCACCGAAGGGCGAATTTAATGAAAGCTAAAGCACTAGCAGACACAACTGTTAATCAGAAGCTTCTTTGAGAGAGTCTGCTTTAAAGCATGAACGTCTTGCTCTTACTTCAACGTCATTATGCGCAGGTCGGTCCACGTTAGCAGCCTCAGCCGTTGATGCAGATCAATCTTGAGATCCAGGCACGCCCGCTGCTTCGTTCGCTGACGGGGAGACTCGGAGCACACGAAGCGAACGATGTAGAAGTCGTGCGTGTCCTGCGATTAGGTACAGAAACCGAGAGCGGTACTCTAAGGCAGGGAACAAACTCAAGCGAAGGATCGCGCACAACTGTGGGAATATGAGGCACGTGAAATGATCTCAAAATAACCGACAATCTGTAGGAGATCTTTCTCTCTGTCAGCCGAATTGATTTGACCGCACAAAGCTCACTATATCTCCGGAACTCATGGGGTCATATGGTTTGGAAGCGGGCAGTATCTTGTATGAAACCGCTGAATTGCAACGCCTGTGGGTGGAATCCTTCTTCGAATCCTTGTTTGAGTGGAATTACTCATTTCACTATCGGTCTGGACACAAGCTTAGAGATAAAGAACCTGAAGATCGAGTTCTTACCAGACAGTTGCGCTCGCAGAGGTCTGCATCGTGAGCTGCGCCGGCCAATCGGATGATGGTCCCCACGTGAACGCCGGCGCTCAGAACGTCTCTCGTGCCGTCCTTGTTCGGGCTCTCGTAGTCCTGTGCGGGAGGAGAGATGTAAAAGGTTAGGTTGCTTTGCATCTTTTCACAGTGCGTGCACGATCATGTGGGGTGGAGTTGAGAAGGACAAATCCCCTTTTTCCATGATTTGCTTTGCAAATGTTTTTCAAACAGTAGAGAAGAACGCCTTCAAAGACGATGATGGATTTCGGCACTCCTCTTTCTCCTTAAAACCTTCTGAAAGACAATAGCTCCCTCACTTAGAATGTTCAAATGATGCTGACTCCAGTCTCCATACAGGCTACCTGATCTTTGCCGTCAATTTAATGAAGAATGTTACTTCTTCCAACGAGTGATGAATGAAAAAGCTGTTGGGTGAAGCTCCACTAACCCCATACTCGTTAACCCTTTCAATCTTTTAACGCAATCATCTGTTAACTGGAAGTCCTTCGATTCCTCGTGCTCACCTCCACGAGCACTCCCGCGACCTTGCGACCGATCCTTCCCTTCCCTCTGAGAACGTCTTTCTCGCCGGCCGGTTGCGTGCCGGCAGCTTCAAACCTCTTGATGTTCTCCAGCACAGTCCTAAGGCTTGCGGAAAGGCTTCCGCTTTCTACGGCCCTAGCCTCCTCTTCCAAGAGCTTCCGCTGCGCAGCTTCGTCGATCGCCGATTGGTCAAGATTCCGTTGCTGCGCGGCTGAAGATGAATCTTCGCTCGGCGGAACGGTCGCCGATGCACTTGAGTGGCTGAGTCCTTGAAGATTTTTGGGGCTGGCCTTAGGGTTTGTTGATTGCATATCTTTGGAAGATGACCTGAAGCGGCGGAAAAAGGAGGTGACCGCAGCTTCGCTGGCGCCGATGCGGGCTGCGAGTGACCTGATGGGAGAGGAAGGTATGGTCAGATCTCAGGGGCTCTCTGACTGGCTTCATCTAGCAATCAGGCCGGGACTTCAATTACCAGCTTGTATGAGACTGATAGCACGTCACCGATATCTCGATGAAACCTGGAAAGGCTTTGATTTAGAGGGGGAAATAATGTATTCTGAAAGCTCGATGCCTGCCAAAGAATACTAGCGCAAAATTGATGATTTCAGACACCACGATAAAGAGCTGTTTAGTCCTTCGTAGGCAATTCAACCCTATTCTCGGAGCAGTGCTTCGCAATTGGTCATACTTTTAGACTTCGTTATACGTTACCTGCACGCAGCTTCGGGCAGCGTCCCGTCATCGACTGGCATCAGCGCAAACGCCCCAGCCAAAAACGCTTCGTGCGCCGGAGTCAGGTTCAAGTCCACAGCTTCTTGCTCCGCCGTTCTGTTTCCGCCGCTGCCTCTTCCGACATCCTCAGGCCGCGCAGGTTGAGGCCTAACGTGTGAAGATACAGCGTCGAGGTTGGAAGGACTCCTGCAAACATCGAAGAAGAGCTTTCATTACTGTTTCCTCTGCGACGTGCAGTCAGCGACCTACGCTTTTAAACGGACCTCGATCTCCTTACATTCCTGACCAATCTGAAATGAACCACGATCACGATGTCAATCTGGAACTCCTCGTGGAACCTCCGTCCTCCACAGTACATGTCAGACGTCAATGGCATTCACGATGTCAGGAAGTTATCGCCTCCCACAACTGGATTCAACTGGGGCACACAGAACTTCATGTTCTTACGTGGCACCGCTGGTCAGGTTGGTGTCCGTCAGTCGCCTTTCGAGAGACGTCACCGTGCTGAGAAGATCTGCTTGACCGCCGTTGTTCCGCTGGGGGTCCGCTTTCCGCTCATCGCAGGCTTCTTGCCTGTCCTTGCCCAGAGCGTCTGATGCTCCGTCTGCAATGACAGAGCAGTGCGGAAGATGAAAAAGTGCATGCGCCCCATTCATTAGGGTGTCACCCATTAGAGCCACTCTGCGATCAACGTCAGGAAGCCGCTTTCTCGAGTCCTAATTAGCATCTGGCACGTTTGACGGAAAGGGTAACAGAAAATCGTTCAGAAGAGGCTCGGGTTTTCTAGATAAGGAACCTAAACTGGAAATCATACCTTCTTCCATCGCCGTCCTCCTCTTCTCCTCAAACCACGCTTCGACGCATTCTGCTGACAGCCCGGTCCGCTTCGCAAGACTTGAATACGCGTCCTTGGAAGGTCTATACTGGGGTCCCACAAACGCCAGAGCGCTCTCAAGCATCTCTAGTTGCTGCTGTGAGAGCCTTTCTTTGGAACCCCTACCGGGCTGAATCTGAGCAGAGGAGTCTATATCCTGCCCGAAACCGAGCGTGCTTCCTTCATCTGCGGCTCTCGTACTGTCGCTTCGGACAGGCGGGACAAGCTCTGCAGCCGTGCCTGAGCGCTCTTCCGGTTCGGCCCTGTCGTTTTCGTCTTTGAACCGATTCCATCTGGCTGGACAATCCTCTGGTACATTTTGAAGGCCTTCACCGGCGCTGTCTCTACATTGAAGCTCAACGCTTCTGCGAAGGTCTTCCACTTCTTCGAAGTCTCCTTCGAACCAGCCAAGCGCACGCAGGTCGCTTTGGAGCTCTTCGACGCTCGGACAAGGAAAGTTCTGCTCTTCCATACCTTCGCTTTCCATGAACGGAGAGAAAAGCTGCAAGCCAACCATACGATCCAGTGTCTCCTGCAGGGAACAACGTCTCGAAGAGTAAATAGACTATCTCAATACAGCAAGCTTAGTATGCAAACGGGTTATCTTATTGTAGCAGGTTTGGTGTCGGGCAACTAGAAAGGTTCTGAGAACGCTGTGGTGGCTTCTCAATCGCCTCAACCGTCAAATTTCGTGCAATTTAGCATGAACGGTAGGCAAAGAAGACAGGTAAAAGTGACCTGTCAATGCAACTTCCAGTTGTTGCTCACCCGTTTACTTCGCGTTCCCGGGGCCAGCATATGAGCGGTCAGGATCTGCACAAGACTCGAGAAACAATTAATAATACCTCTGAAAAGCAAAGTTTCTGATACAACCTTGCAAATTAGAGATAGAATATCCGCAAGGCTGCAACTGGCAGCTTTACAAAGGCGTCTTCGACATTCGTTTTTGGCAACCTTGTTTACTGCTTGCAAATCTTTTTTAAGTCTCTTGTGTAAGACCAATGGCCGTTGTAGCGCAAGAAAAACGAGCTTTGCAACGGTCGTTGGAGGATAACTGATGCAGAGTGCTTATATATTGGCCTCACCTGCTGCAGTTCCTTCACCTTGAAACGGTTCTCGTCCAGACCTGACACCATCTTCACTTCTCGGGACGCTTCGCTGCCTGTCAGAGCAACGAACATCTCGAAGTACGACTCTAGGCTCAAAGCTAACGAAGCTGCTAGAACACTTTGAGACTGCCTCGGCAGCTTCTGACTTAGGAGGTCGTTAGCACTGAACAATCCCTCATGGTCTCTCTGCGATGCTCTTGCTTCAAATCCTGTTCTGCTCAGATTTTCAACCTCAGGGCGTTGAGAGAGCCAGGTCTTCTCGTGGGAGGGAGTTGATTCATGCGGAGCCTGGGAGGCTTGTGAAGGAACTACTCTCTGTTCCGTGCTGCACGTTAAGGAGGCTGCAGGCTTGAGAGCGTTTGCCTTCGAGGGACGCAGACAGGAAAGGGGAGGAATCTTCGACCTTGCACCCTGGTCAATGGAACTTAAAGAACGATCTCCTTCCTTTGTTGTGGAAGCTGTTTGTGGCCAGAGACGATCTCTTTCTCGAGGAGCCTGTGGAGGCAGTGGATTGTTGGATCGTTCAAACTCGTTCGCACCATGTTCTGCACCTGGCTCTTGAGATACAGAAGGCGTATGCACAGCGAGATGGAAAGTAACGGACTTTCGAAGCTTCTTTTCTTGGCCAGGTAGCTTCTGGATCCCTGTCTGCGAAGAGGCAGACCTGCTTTTGCGAATCCTATCCCAGAATGAAGAAGCCGAAGGTTGGCCAGAACCGTTCGGCACATCTTGCACCTGCGTTCCAGACAAGGCTTGTCCGGTTCTTTGTTGTTCGAGTCCATTTGAGGTTCCTTCTGGCCTTCTCCTACAACCTCCTTCATCGTTTCTAGACTGCAGTGCCTGGCTGTAGTGCAACGAGCCCTTGATTTGTGCACTCCCTTTTCGCGGCTCCCCTACTGATTTTGAAAAATGGTTCCAAAGTCCCCGCGCACCTTCAGTTCTGCCAGCCCCTCCTGACTGCCAATTTTGAGACAAGAGATGGGAATCCTTCTCAAGCCCTGAGAGCTTTCTTGGCTGGGGCTGTGACACCGCAATCCTTGAGAACCTAGCATCCAAATCGTTGTTCGTCAGCCCGCTTTCTTCCCAGGCCGCACCTTGGGACATGTACTCTGACCAGGAAACGTTTTGAGACATGCTGGAAGGGGGCTGGAAGAGGAACTGCACCTTGAAAGTAATCAAGCTAATTGCGCATTCTATCACTAATCAGCAGCTTCTGTGCTAGCACACCATCCATTTGAAGCGACAAAGCCATTGGTTGCTTCGTGTTGACGTACGATCACAACATCGAAATTTCTGTGCAAATGTCATCGGCCTGTTCCACCTAGGCCAGCACGAAAAGGGGCACAATCTGATATTGTAACTAATTTTTAGAGCGCCTCTCGAATAAGAAAGGAGTCCAGTGGGGTAATGAGCAAGTCAGTATATGGACTTCACCTTTTGCTGTCTGCGTGGAAAAGACGCTCAACTTTCTGGAACCATTCGAAGTCGAGGCTTGAAGATCATTGAACAGCGAAGGGACATTCAAACATTGCTGGTGCCAGGATGCGATTTGTGCGTTAATTAGACATAAGAAGGTTTGTGCGTTAACCATCTTTTGTAAAATACGGTACGGTATTCTGGCTTTACAGGTGAGGTCAGGAAATAGCCGCACGGTGCCGGTTTCTCAGATGGTGACATTGTGACCGTATATAAACTGCGCAGCCTTCATCGGACGGTTATGATTACAGGAGCAAGGCGGGGGTAAAAGGGGTTTGCCTATACCAGCCGCCCCAAACCCACCCCAAACCCACTTAAACTTCACAGGAATGTAGGTAGTGCCACTCTTCGAGAAAGCTGCATTCCTCTAGCTCCCTCCTGCTTCCTGATAAAATGGCGGCTATCCGCTTCACTTGGCAGCATTTTGCGGTGATGGGGGTGTTTTCAACTCTGACCTCGTACTATGGGTACAGCTTCGGGAGGGAGATAGCACGCAGGGAGCTAGAAGGTAAGATCAAAGAGCTTAGAGAACAGGTCAAGGCTTTACAGAAGTGAGCCAGCATTGCACCACTCAACAGTAAACATTTGCATGTCAAGATGGAATTGGGGGAGCGAGAAGGGTCTTGTCGGCTGAGATGACAGCTCCGACAAACATGCAAGCCTTGAGCATTAGCAAGCCTTGAGCGTGGTGCCAAAAGCAGGCCCCCCGGAGCGCCAGGCGCTGGAAGGATTGGTGAGTCTTTTGTCAATGTTTGATCTTCTTTCACAGATCTCAATGTAGGGTGTCTTTGAAACAATTATCCGATCATATTGAGGTGGTTGTACGATGGAAAGATCGCCCTGCTCACAAAAGAATCTGGCTACTTTTGGTAGAGTGGCTACCTCAACAGCAACTTGCTTGCATCAAATCTCACCCGGACACTGTTGTGGTTTGATCAAAACATTCTGGATTGACACCATGATCAGACTGTGAGTCTAACCCTGAATGCCCGCACACATCGATTAAACCACCTGCGGTACACCAGGACCTGCGATGATAGTGGTGCAAACAGTGAGAAGCAGTTCTGGAGATGGTGCTAATGTCTACAACATAAACCCAGAAGTAGGACTGGGACGGAGGCAAGAACAGAGAAGAATAGTGAACGGTATCTGCCTTGTGAAAAACTGGTCTGGTATGAAGCCCCACCCCCCTCGTTGATGCTTGCAGTGACCCAGCAGTTGCCTCTGCTGATGGTGGACGGATCAGGCCAGCGGTACTAGCCAGCGGTCCCTGCAAAATTTTGCTGTTTTGCTGTTCGGCACTGTGGGGCTTTATCAAAAGGCTTCATTGATTTTGTTATCATGTGTCATACACTAGAACAGCATGGTTTGCCCTTCAGCTTTCTCCAGCTGGTACCAAGGCTTCACACTGGACGGGTTCACCTTCGGCAGGGGTGCTTTTGATTCGTGTTTCGAAATCAACTCGAAGAGCAGGTTTACAACACCCCTCGAAATTCGAAGTAGGTGCTTGGCGTTGTTCCGAGACACGGCTGATAGCGAGTTTACTGACGGATGGCCTTAAAGTGCTGGTGCCGAGCTGCCAATTACCGGCAACTGGTTGACGCCCGCTCACATCTGAGAGCTGAGGGACGTAGCGCTCAAGGGGGGCGGGCGATGGTTGTCTACAGGTGAACGACGTGTTCCGATTCTAGTAGTTGCTTCCTTGCTTTTGATTTCGTCGGACGCAAGTCACAAGAGGTGGTTGTACTCTTCACGAGTGGCATCCTGCCCATTGTAAGGAGCACAAGTGTTGACAGATTGATTCCCCATTCACTTTCAAGCCGGCCGCCGACTTGCTAATCTGTGCGTCGTCTGTCAAACCTTTCTAAGATATGATGTCCCTATCCGCCAGCAGAACGATCAGGGTTCCAAAATCTCGTCATTTAGATTTGAGACTGCCGCATAATTGTAACCCCCTAAATTGCTGAGGTATGGGAAGACTTGAGAGTCCTTGTAAAAGACCTGGTTGCATCCTTGTGACGTGACCTTGAGGACCTTGGAAAAGTTTTTGAACGGGGCCGTGTACGTTCAGTACCTTTTTATGCATCTCGAGGACCTGAATTGCTTGCGGGTGTTACAGTCATCAAGTGTTCTGCTTGATGACTAAGACTTTACTTTGCAGTCACTGCGACAAGTAGCGCCGCTGTCAAATCGGCCTGAGTACGAAGTTGACGTGCTATAAAACAGGGGTCGCCCTCATTGAAAGATGCAAGAGTGACCACCAACACTCTCTGCTTTCCGCCAAACCCTGTAACGTGCCTCTCTGCAGCTGACACGTGGCTGGGGGTCAACAGGCCACGGTTCGAACCGTGACCTTCAGCTCATATAGTGTTGCGCGGCGCTCGCAGCGGGGGACGACCGCAGCCGCATGAGAGGCCTCATGCGGCTGCCATTGAGCGCGGCAAACGACACATTCGCCACTAGAAAGAAAGTGAACAAGGCCCTTCCTAAGAAAGTGGCAATATTCGTATTAGATTCAGTATTCGAGCCGGATACGGAATCGTTCCGAGGACTTTAGCCCCATGCCACGCGATCATCAATTTTCAAATAGAGGGATACAAAAAACCGGCGGATGCCACTTGAGAAGCAGCCTGTTCAGTTTGTCGGTGCCAGTAGGGCTACTGACCGAAATACCTCGACGGGAAAGGGAGCTAACAAAGCGAAGCATTGCCATTTCCATCTTAGCAAGTAGCAGTTCATCGGGTACCTAATCAGGATCCAAACAAGAAGCCTGAACGGGTTGTTACTGACCCTGGCTCACTTGAGCTAGGACAACTCACCGAGTCTCTCGTCACAGGGTTCGGTTTGAGTGGTACGAACCACGACTCAAGATGGGACAAGGCCGTCTAAACGGACATAACTTAGCTCTCAGTATACCATCATTGCATCTAGCGAAGATACGTTGGTACGGTCACCTAGACGGTGCATGTTGGTTGGCTGGGCCCAGCATGTTGCGCTCGCCGCCGGGCAGTTGAGGTCATTGCACGTCACTGCATTACTGTCACTAGAACTCGCTTAGCTAGCCCGTCTAATTCTAGAAGTTTAATATCGCGTTAATTAGCTAGGAAGCGCGTTGCGTGGAACTTATTGATGTCCACGCTCCATTCGATCGATTTTGTATACGTTTCATGCGGCATACACAGCGTGCACCTGGCAATGATGCGAAGCTATGTTCAAATTAAGTCATTCAATTCGAGTCATCATCCGTCATGTTAGTATCGATCATGAAAAAGCAATCCTGAAACTAAGAAGCATGATAACATGAGTCCGACAATGGCCCATGACTCATATATACACACCGTGGCTGTGGCCGCCCATTCCTTTCAATCATGGGTGCTGCCAGATCAATAGGATCGGTTTCAGTACTACTTGCCATCAAAATTTATGGCATGCACCGTTCGGTTGTTGTGACTTAAGAGTGATCGTGACCATGCCGCACTTCTACACATTTGTATAGTATTTGCATGGACGGTGCCGAGATGACCCAGGCGGACAATCCACTGCTCCTATAAGCGTTCAAGTCGGATACTAGAAACTTTTTCTACTGCCGTGTCCTACCAGACGAGCGAAGCAGGATCTCAAGGTTCTTCGTCCGGTACATGTCTCCAAGCTCCCTACGCGGCTATGCAAAGGAGGACCAGTCACATGGGAACAAACGGACCTTCACCTTGCAATGTGAATGATTGCATGGTGGACCATTCACCGGGCATCTTAAAGGCTCGTCTCCAATTCTTCGTCAGCTGTTTCGTCCGCCCGAAGCTGAGCAGAGACATCGTCGATCGCGGCGTTCAGTTGGGCAATCTTCTCATTCAGGCTCCGGCGTGTGGCCTGCACATTGTGGGAGGATCCGTGACTGCCCATCTGGTCATGTCGTTGTAAAGCGAGTTTGGAAAGGGTGTAACGATCATTGCGAAGTCTAGGCTAAACGGGTACAAATTGCCACCATCTTAGAGCGGCAGGGGCTCGAAAGCACGCCCACTCATTACAAGGGTGCACTCAGCGGTTGCCCCCTTATGTGGTCCTGGCCGGCGGGCCGCAGAAAGACAGAATAGCTGGGGACGTCCAAGACTAAGACCGCTGCCGTCAAAAGCTTTCCGAGTCAACAAATGAACGCTCCCACATTTGTGCTCGGTTAACTGCGGTCTCTCCGAACTTCGCGACCCCCTGGCTCAATCTTGCAGAGTGGAATCCTTACGGTCGACAGGACGGTAGGGCTGCGATCCTGACCAATGCACACTTTTGCGCTCCGCCTGCTAGTTTCCCGTACATGTTTTACAAGGGTGCATTGAGCAGTCGCACTGTTTGTGTCCCTAGTGATTCGTGCAATCCTTTTTGCACGAGTACTGGCAAGTGTTCCTCTCCGGTCTCTAGACTGATATCAAAAAGCTCAAGCTTCAATGACACATTGTGCCTCGAACGGGTGGGGCTAGTGGGGGCTTTAGGGTGGGCACAGGTGGGGAGCAGGTAAACATTAGAAAGTTTAGGATTTTGGTGTTAGCTTCGGTCTTATTTTGACTTACGCAAATCATGAATGTACCATTGAATGGATGATTGTGTTAAGTTCATCCTTAATTTGACTTGATTTTGAATGTAAGCGTTTGAAAGGATTATGAGTTCCTTACCTCGAGGCTATCCTCCTCGTCCAACCAGCGCGGTAACCGCCGAGGGCTGCCGTCCTCATTCTCCCCCAGCAGCGTCTTCGAAATCTGTACAATGATCACAGAACTTCGGTGGGCTACCAAAAATTATGCAACCATTACACGCCAACTCTGCTCACACCGACTGCAAAAATCAAGAGCGTCGGCATCAAGAGGAACGAGGTACGGATCACTCCATTTTAAACAGGGCGTTGGCACCTATCACCCAAATAGGTGCCCCCCGGGCCAACCAAACATTGGCCCTTGGGGCTAGCTTGGTCGCCGAAGGCCAATTTTAAAGAGGAAGCGGAGCCGTTGGATGATCTTTTCCCCTGGCGGTTCAGATGCACAAGTGAACCTTGGGACCGACGCCTGCTTTAAGCAGCCAGAAGCCACAAGAGCTTGGTGGATGCAAGGCTCACCTGAGGGGCAAAGAAGAAGCCTAGCACTCCCAGGACAACCCCCCCAATAAGGAAACCGGTCAGAAACTTGCCGCTGCCACCAGAGGGCTTGTCTCTGCACATCACGCAACACAATATGAGATCAAGGGTTCGCTTTGCACAGCCACGGTGCGGTAGCTGGCAGGGGGTATGAGGTATTACCAATGGTTCGAGGTGTCGCAGAAGCAGGACATTGTTATGTACATCAGAAATCGCTCGTGCATGAAAGAGCAGAGAACACCATGCCTTTCACCATCTATGGAACTCACTTCATTTCTCGCTCGAACATCCTAAAGCGTCCGCTTTCTGTGCAACTTTTACTAAAACAGCATACTAGTTCACATGCGCTCTAACGGTGCAGCACGGTTTCAGCAAGCTAAGATTCGGTGAGGCATCTTGACTTGGCCGAACAACGTACGCAGTGAAGAAAGTCAAAACCCGATTCTGGCAGAAGGGAGTCTAAGAAGTGGAAACCAAAAGAAGATCGGCCTTACACAGCTTCCGCTCGTACGATGCTCTTTCTCGTCCTCTGTGCATTTTGGTACAACGGTCCTCCGCCTACACGATGACCGCCAATTTGGAGCCTGGAAGAAGCAGGGGCAGAGGAGCCGACCGGCCCGAGAACTGACCGGCAATTGCAGAACAGCAGACCTGCAGCAAAGAGCGAGATTTAATGCATGAGTCGCCGCAAGTAATAAGAATGCCGCTCGCTAAGGGCAGCGGGGGGGCAACAGTAGGTCTCAAGTTGAGCCACCCCATGCAATCAGAAAGTTCTTGTGACCTACATTGGGACTTGGAACGAATGATTATTACAAGAGAAGCTACGTAAGTCGTTGGATATAGATTCAGTGGTCTTTTGAAAAAGAAATGCCCCCCAAAAGAGGCAGGATACATCGGGCTCATTGATGGGATCAAAGTTGGTCAATATGCTGGAGTTGAGATCCACCCCGGCACACGCGCAGCAGGCTGGAGCAGATCAGACAACACGGCACTGCACGAATAGGCATGTCATGCCGCTAGTTTGCTCAAGCATGCCTTGCAGCATTTCTTCAACAAGAGCAGCCGTAAGCGAGTGCGTCAGCAATCAAGCAGACGCTTAGGCTTCCGTTCCAGTTAGAGGAGGGGCTTCTACTGGGCTTGCAGCGATACACACACACATTGGCGCACTTTTGATGATGCATTAACAGGTGCTTGAATCAAAACCCAACAATAAGTCTAAAGGGAACCACCCCATCATCCAGGTGTGAATTCTGCTCATTGGAGGACGTCCCTAAAGCAGCCGGCAGTCACATGTTTGCCTCAACTCATAACCTCTTCCTTCATTATGCAATCATGACGCCTGCAATCTTCACTGGTGTCAAAATATTCTTGCCTTTCTTGGTGGCATTCATGGGGCCACTGCGAATGTGCAGGAAAATACTTACCGCGCTCGACATTCTCAGTGCTCGGTGCCCTGCTAGATTGCCCCACGAGGAGCGCACTGCGAGCGGACGAGGCTGCCAGGCATGATGCCATCCTCCACTGGCTTGAGTCGGCACCACGACACGATGGCTACCTCAGACTGTGGGACAACCTGTCAATCACGTAGAAGAAACTCAATCTGGAGATCTGGAGATTCAAGGCTGCTGCAAGATGCTTGGAGCGCCTTTTGCCTGCCTCCGCTTATGATAAGAAAATTTGCTTCGGAAGCTTGGTACACAAGCAGGAGAGAACAGAGTGAGGGCGGAAAGCACGACCTTCCTGCACATGTACAAGTCGCTTTCTAGTCGACCACCTTTTTCAGAGGCAACAGAGCCACAGCCAGAGGGGAAAAGGGAAGGAAAGAGAGCGCTCTCAATCAAAGGTTGGCGCTGCCTGCTTTTGAGAAGAGTGGAGGCTATTGGACTGAACAGCAGTAGCTCCCTAATACAATTCTCTCCACGGTGGTTACATGCTCACTTGTCATAGCAGGGGTGGGCAAAAATCACAGTAATCAGCACAATCTTTGTCCCTGTGACAGATCTCTATTGGTAGTCAAGGAATGCCGTCTGCAAGAATTTGGCCACAGCTGCCAGATGAGGAAGTGCATGGACAGAGCAGTTGATCTTGGAAGTCCAGAACAGAGAGGTACTCCCAAAGAAGAGGAATGTTGATAGGTAGTCAAAAGTTGGAAAAGGACGGGCGACAGACCTGCCGGCTTATGATCCTCAACGAACGTGTCCGAAGTGATGAGCGCGCTTTCCAAAAGGGAGCTTGTCTGCACAATGAACAACATTCGACAATTGACATCAATGATACTAGGAGTTGTGCAAGAAGAGAACGTATGCAAAATTAGAAGACAGAAACCAATGCACAGAAAAGAGAAGATGGGACTGACACCCTCCGGACAGGCACGGCTAAGCAATATTCCGTGCACTTTGTGGACATGATCTGCCCAGAAGATGCTGCAAACGCTTAAGAAGCCTATTTGAAGGAAATTTGAGAATTCCCTCATGTCCCTAATGTACAAAAGATGACGTCTGATGCTCTTATCCTGCTAAGGTCTGAATCAGAGTGCGAGCACCGTCAGCATGGCAACACAATCTGTTAATCTGGCTTGAATGAAGCTACTCCAATCTTCCAAACAATTGTCAATCCCAAACCAGCCTCTCAGACACACCCTGTTGTTCAAACGCCTCTTTGTGAATGTGCGTGTGTGGCTCTTGCCCATATCAAGCAGAAGATAAATCAATCTTGAAGCTTGCAAATCAGAATCGAGTCACAAAAGCGCGGGAGTCCGTTACGCACAAATGCAGGAAACAAAGACGATTGAGGCGCAAGAGAACGAACTCACCAGGATTGGTGGGAGTCTTTGAAAGAAGCTGAGAACCAGATGGAACGTTGCAGGAGCGCAATGTGCAGAATGGACTTGCCAAGCCTGGCAAAAGTTCCCGAACTCACTCTCAAGTGCAAAGCTGTCAGTGAGCCTGCTGACTCCTAAAGTCTGGGTTAAAGAAGGCGTTAGCGGATGCATGCGCATACAGCGACTGAGAGATTAGCGAAAAGCGGTGCATGGTCGCCAAGACAAAACCACGTGGATATCCGGTGATGTCATCTTTTGGCGACTGTATAGCCTTTGCTCTGCTTGCTAAGTCGCTTCTGACTATGCATCCTTTACAAGGGACTGGATAAACAGGGGTTTGAGTTGGAAACCCCATTTCAAACCCCATTGTTGAACATCTTGAGGTGGTCCCTTGACAAAGATTCAGAACTTGCATGAACTTGAATTGAACTTTGAAGTTGCATCCAGTTGCATCTTTATGCCATTCAGCTACCTCCTCTTTGATGAGATGCTTGTGACCAGATGGTTATATCACAAAAAAAATCCAGTTGCATCTTCAGACTTCAAGTTCAATGGTGGTCCCTTGTTCCTTGGGCAAATCCAGGCTAGCGGCGCAGCTTAGTAGCTGCAATTTGTCAATTTGGCCAGGATCAGCTGGTCAAAAGGACGAATGACTGGTTCCCTTGGCGATGGTGCTGCAGCACTCTCTGGTGATGGGAGTTTTTGTAACACTGGCTCCGAAGTCATTCTATGTACTGTCATAGAGCTTTGGGCGTCTTGCTAAAAGAGAGGATCAAAGAGCCGAAGAACAGGTCACGACGTGTAGGAAGTGAGGCCAGCGTTGCACCACCCCAGAAATTGAGCTCCACAATGGAAGCAAGGGAGAGAAGTATCATTGTGAAGTGAGTTGACTACCTTGACAAATGTGCAAGCTGTGGTTGTTCGCAAGCTGTTGTTGCATAGACAAACGTAAGAATTGTTTTGGCTATGTTCAATGAATCAGCTCTTGAATAAGGTTCCACTTGCAATACAGAACATCTGAACTTAGCTGGGGCTTGAATTCTATAACCGAACCAAAAGATGGACATCACATTGAAACACAGAGTCGCCCCCCTGGAGGTACTACCCATGCTCGTGCCAGAGTTTTGTTGCGTTATGCTTCCTGCAATGATCATATCAGCACACAACGCCGAAATAATCTTTCACCAAATTGAACGTACCAAGTGTGTGTCCTTCAGTTATCAAGGCACAGTTGGTGCCTTAAAGGTGTCAAACAGATAAAATCATTGACGCCTATCTCGTGCAAGCCATTTTGGCACCTTCTAGGCGTCATTCTCTTGGGGGGGTGAATTTGTGACTGTGAGTTTGATCTTAGGTGCGCGGACAGCATAAGCTGTAGCATGCATCAGGAATTGTGACGATAGCGGTGTACACAGCTAAGAGTGTGCCATCAGCATCTTTTACGATGCTTACAGATGTTTACATTAAACGAGGAAAGGAAGATTTGCAGGCTTTTAAAGCGCTAACTTGGACTTCAGAAGGAAAACAGAATTGTCAAAAGCATCAAATGATTATACAAAGCCAGAAAGCGAAGTTGGGGGCTTGAGAAGTGCTAACCTGGAGTCACAAGAGGTTTTGAGAATATTATAAAAGCATTAACTTGCATGATTCCTCAAAAGCCTGACCTCTTTTGTTAATGCTTGGCTTGCAGTGACCCTGCATCTTATCACAGTGCGCTTGCGCAGCAGTCTCCTCTACTGAGCATAAATGAACCTGGCCAGCAAAAAGCTGACACTAGCCAGCGCTCTCTGCACCTTCCGCTGTTTGGGACCTTGAGGCTTTTTGAGGAGGACTTCTCTTTCCAAAGGTCAGTCTATTCCTGCGAAAGTCAGAGGACAGGATTGACTTATGATCGTGGTGACCATGAAATGCAAAAATTAGGCTAGTTCTTTGAAATCCAGGGACATAACCAACACCTAACCAAGGGCTTCTCCTTACAAAGATCAGCGGGTCGCTTTCAAAGTCAGAGGCCATGACTTACTTACGATTGTGAAATAGCAAAGGCAGTCTACTGCTATGAGAGTTAGAGGACAGGACGTACTTTGAATATAGGGCTGTTTACAAAGGTCAGTCTTTCGCTCTAACAGTCAGCATACATGGGTTATTTAGAATCGTGATAGACTTTAATGTCGGAAATTCTTCTTCTGTTGCCCTTCCTGTTGTACCATTCAGGAATGACTTTCTCTTTGCTCTGCCTCAACAACGTAAGGATCGACGAATTGTGCCAAAAGAACGCAATCTGAGTTTGCCCCGTCTATTGCTGTAAAAGCCAGGTCCATTGTTTGGCACATTAGCTTTTGTTGCATGTCTGCAGCGGCGTGGGAGTGCATGCTGGAGGCCCTGTTTGGGCCCTGGACTGGTGCCCTGAGCAGGAGGAAATTGCGACGAGCGACGAAGCAAGGCCTCAGGTGAGAAGTGGAGACGTTTTAATACTAGGGGCTTTGTATCTGTTGACAGTAGAGTTCTCTTCTCATTTACACAAAGCGAAAGATCGTCAAGGCAAGCTGCTGACGAGATGCCTCTGTGCAGGCTTTAGGAATTGAAGTCTGTCGGAAATCCAGGCTTTGAAGCCGTTGCAGGCAGTGGCCAACAAGTCATGTAGGAGGATTTATTCAGAGAACGCTCAGGGGCCAACATGTCGCAGATCCTGGAGAAGCCTCCAGTCTTTGACAATGTCGCAGAGTACTCTCACCTAGTTGAGAGACAGGAAGAGTTTCTTACAAAGCAGGCCTTGATCTATGAACGGGATCAGACATCAGTTGAGAAGGAAGAAAAAACGGCCCAAGGTTCCATCCTTTTGTAGCCTTTTCATTTGATAAGCCCTATCAACCCAGTGAGCTTGCTAATGAATCAAAGCGGTGTCGAAACTAAGAAAGACGATCCCGAAACTTACGCACATCTTCTGATCTGCCCCAAAAATGGAGGTACTTTTGGAAGACCGTCATCTCCTCCTCCTTACAAGCAACTCTCCCTCCTTCTCTGCCGTTCCTTGCGGCTGGTGTTCACCCCCAAAACATCTTCCACAAATTAAGCGGAAAGGCTCATGGCAAAGGTACCGTCCAGATTTGCCAATGTTGGGAAGGCTACGCAATATCGGATCGCGGAAAATGGGCTCTAAAGACCCCCACATCCAAACCAAGATCTCTAACAAACCGAATCCCTTTTCTCTGCAGTTTCTTGCGGTGGGCGTTCACCCCCCCAATGTCTCCAACATTCCCAGCGGAAAGGCTTTTCACGGCAAAGGTACCGTTCAGATCTGGCAGATCGAGGAGGCGCCGCCAGCGGCAAAAGCAGCCGCCAGCCGGAAGGGAAAGCAGAAGATTCAGGAGGGAGCCAGTCCCAAACACAGGGTGCCCGGAAAGGTGAAGTTGCGCTCCCTTGACTGCTAGTGTCGACCTTTTGCATGAATTTTGTGGACAGAAGTTGGTTGTCGACGACGTAAACGGGAAAGTCCTTCTCATTTCGAATATTTCCTACGCTTCGTGCTGTTTTCAGAGAATATTTGTGAGGCTTAAGGCTTCGTTGTATCGGAACTCCACGGTCTGGGTTGAAATTCAGGCGACATGTTCTTTCGAGAGTGACTAGGTCGCACGGTCACTGGACGTGGTAGTCCGTCAGTGGTTCTCTGTCTTTCAACTGTGGTTAGGCCCTCAATCAGCGGCAAGGCCTATATTCCCTCTCCGCTTCTTAGTTCATGTGTCCTTGTTAGCCAACATATCTGCGACGCCTACGTACAAATCAGGCTTTGAAGACTACTACCAATTCTGCTCCCCGTCTTGCCCTTCTTTACGCGTCCTGCTTGCTCAGAGCTTTCGCGGCATCTTGCCTTTTTGCTCTTGCGTCTTCACTAACAAGTTCAACTTCGACCATACAACCCAGGCTTTGACATTGCCTCTGGTATCCTTTGATTGCTGTTTGCGTCAGACTTGGCACCCGAACTCGGATCGATGTGCGCGGTCCTTGTGCTCTTGGTTCGCGTCGGCGGTTTCCGATCGTTGACAGACATGACCCCCTAAATGTTACTTTGTAATCTGACCGATCGAAGTTCCTGGTATTGAGCGACCAGAGTCGACAAGCCCTGTCCTTCCGGGGGGGTCTCTTTGGGAACATCGAGAACCGACATCGCCACTGAAAATTGAGGATTGCACGTTTCGATCCGAACTCCGGTGCCAAGTTTGACGCAAACAGCAGTAGTTTGCCGCTCCCAGTTACCTCTCTGCGCTTTGTGCTTGTTCACAGTTCCTATACTTCGTACTTTGGTAGTAACCAGCGACTTTCCGCTCCTGCTCTTGCATCGTGCCGATGATTATCTGCCCTCTCCGCAGAGTCCCGAGGACCTCGCTATGGAGGCGGTTCTTCCCACCGGCGCTTCCCTCTCCTTCGGCATCGCACACGAGGGCTCTTTGGTCTGGGACCTCAAGTGGCGGCCCGCACGACCGTCGGCGTTCACGCAGAGCTCAGAGGAAACGGCGCCACATCTAGGGCAACTTGCAGCGGCATTGGGAAACGGTTCCGTGCACGTGTGAGTGGTTTCTTTGACGCGTCTGGCACTGCTTGTCATTGCAAGGAGCCACGTTCAAGAAGCTCTAGAGCGTTACTAAGGAGCGCGGAACCTCCGAGTTGTCGAAGCAAGCAGAGTCTAGGGTGGTACGTTTTTCTGATCAAAGGTCATGAGCGGGAAACCCGAGGCAGTCCCCTAAAGTCAAAGGAAGCCTTCTTTTCGAAGCTGAGGCCGTGTCCCGCGAAGGTGTACTACAAGTCTTTGTGTTTCAAAGGCTGGTTCTGAAATGCCTGAACAAGCAAATAGAGATCCCCGTTTCTAAGCTGTGACGTCAATATGCTCTCTCAGTGCTTGCATCAACCGTGAACTGCTCGGGTGGCCAGCCTCGTATTCACCGTTCCCAGAAAACGCAGGTACATCCTCCGGTTCAACTGAAGTGCGTACAACTTCTTTACTTCTCAAATGATCAACTCCGACTACTCAACTTTTTGTCCGTTGATGACGTTTCTGTCCGTTTTAAGAGACTGCAAGAGAGCTCTCACACTTTCGACATGAATAAGACTTCAACGTCGCCGTTCATTCAGATGGACTGTGCCCACTCCTGCCTCCGTGCCCCGACCGACCGGCTCGAGTGTTCCGGCCGAAGCCGCCGGAGGGGCCAAGAAACGGAAGCGGAAAGGGGAGCCGGCGGAAGCACAACCGCCGGCTCCTCCGGTTGTCGTAAGTCTGCCGAGCGCCGCGTTTCGAACGGGACACGCAACTTTGGGTCGAAGGTAAGGGTTTGACCGTTTGTCTCACTTGTTACATGAATTTTATATTTGTACAAAACCGCTCTCTTGAGCACTGTGGGAAAGCATGGACAGCAATCTACACAAACGGACCGCTTTCTCGATTCGGTAATGTCAGCTGCCGGCACGCTTCGCGGAGTTGCAAGACGTGGTTTCTAACTCGGCGGAGGACATTCTCAAAGTTCCAAGCTCGATCGGACGTGCACTAAAGGTCAACCCAGATCCACACGAGCATACAAGCGCAGGCCTGTAATAGAAGTTTCTAAGCCTCCAGCGCCTCTAGAGGCAATTCAGTCAGCGGTCTCACGCGTCTGCGTTCTTCACAGCTTATCGAGACAGCCTTTGGTCCTCCATTGTCCTCCTCAGCTTTAGACTCCTTCGTGACACGAGTACAGTCATCTTAGATCGCACACGAACGACTTTCGCCCTGTAACCTCCCTCCGTGCTTGTAGTTTTCGAAGCACGTAACAACTTTTATTCGATTTTCTTAATTGTTACGATTAACTTGGTGGCAGGCTTCCCTTGACGCTGGAGTGGTCCCCGTGCGCCCCGTCAAACCTACTGCTCGCTGGCTGCCACGACGGAACGGTGAGTCAAAGTTTCCAAGTTACCCTTTACTCCCCAACCCCTAGTCTTCCACTAGACCTTCTCGATTCGTCCTCGTTTTTCTTTGGAGCTTTTCTGCAACACTCGGCGAGGCACCTTAACGTTTTCAGAATCAACTAACATTCACACGCCCCGAGCTTTTCTTTAATGTAGCACGGGGATTTCGATGCTGCTCCCGCCCATTGGATCTGATGCGTCACCGTCACGTCCTTCCAACTAGTCTTTTGAAGTCTTCTGTTGAGTCCTCGGTAAAAGCCCCTTCAACCTGAGAAAACGGGTAGAACAATACTTCCTTTTACAGACGCTGAAATGCTCGTCCCTCCGCAACCGATTACCTCCCTTACAATTTGGAAGTTGCCCTTCTTTTCGAAACAACGACTAACCATTGGTTTGCAGAACATAATTTTTCTAGCCATAAAGTCTGCCATGCTTCTTGCCTGGATGTAAAAGAGCGGCGCTTTGCTGTCACGCAGTTTTATTTCGATTCCAGCCTGTTTCAGTCGAGACCTGAAGATCACGTGATTGCTAAGGAGTGGTATTGAAAGGACATGTCCCCTTCAGCGACCTTTTGCCTGAGAACTCACCGTGGAGCGGCGAGCCGCTAGGAAAGGGGCGTGGAGCCAAATCGCAGCGACCAGAAATTTATGTCTGTAAACGTTGCTGCAAGCTACTTGGAACACAGGCTCGTTCCACAACTGTAGGATTCCTCAAAAATGCTTGGGGCCATGGTGTTTTCGTTCCTGCGCAGTTAGGAGAGTTATGAGAGGAAAGAAGGAAAAGATAAGTTACATCCAAAAGCTTCTCCCGCAGGTGGTTCTGTGGCGGGTACCTGACACGAAGCCGAGCTCCTCAGGTGCGTACCGAATGATTTCCCGTGAACCAAATGAAGTGACACGAAGGGGTCGAATCACAGCAGCAACCACTGCAACGGTCAGCGACGTATGATGAGCATGGCGGGTTATGACATCACTGCCAGAACTTTGTACCGCTTCCTCGATCAAACATTTTCCAACGGTCTCTCCAAATGTGAGTCGCTTTCCTATTGTTCAAGGCACCGTCCTTTGCCACCTGTGGCGGTTCGACGGATCTGGACTGACACGTGTCCTCTCGATTGCAGACCACGTGTTCCCGCTCGCGTGCTTCAAGGCAGAGGACACGCCGCTCCGCTCGCTCGCTTGGGTTCCGCCGCACGTGTAAGCGCCCCCGATAGTCTCAATACTGAAACTATTTTCATCTACCGCTTTTGTTCTGTTCATCTTTTCTTTCTCATAGGAGCCGACTCTACCTGCTGAGATTAGTCTGAAAAGCGATCGTAAGTCTTTGTTCGACACTTCAAAGGCCGCGTAATGCCACGATCCGGGCTCAAAAACTGTCCAAAGGACTTAGTGTAGGAAAAATACAAAGTCACAAAACGTCCATTAACTCTCCGGATACCATCTTCGACGACCCCTTATCCGGATCCTGGGAAAATAATTAGAAACACTCGAAGCGCGAAGCTTCTTGAAGAGTTTGGAAGGTGACACGTGTCTTTCAGCGGCTCCGTGTAACAGCCAGTAGCGTCTTGAGGACAACCGGCTGTGATCACATATATATTTACATTGCAGCATTTAACTGAGCTGCATTTGGTGACGCCATCTCCTGATCCTCATCATAGCGGAAAGTGTTTGCGCAGCGGCAGTGGCAACCAGCTCTTCGTGCGCTTGTAATCATATAATTCCTTATGTCGCAGCATCTATTCAAGCTGTTCTGGTGACGTCAGCTTCTAATCATGTCGGAAGTGTTTGCGCAGCGGTGGTAGCAACCAGCTCTTCGTCACGGGCGGCCATCGGGGAGCAGTCAAGTTTTGGGACGTCAGGTAGGCGCCGCCCTTCGCTTCTTAAGCGCCTTTTCGCGGTATCAGTACGAAAGTCTCTGTGGCGCCTATCGGCTGCGACTATGTGACATGAGTGCCTGCTGTGTTGAAAGCGCGGGGTCCCTGCAAAATCTGCCGCCGTCCCTGCTGTGAAGTACGTATTCCCTGCAAAATCTTGCCGCCTTCTTTTCCGTTACATCAGATGGTTGAAGTCGAGATTTTTGATGAGTCTTCAAACGTCAAGGAACGGCCCGCTATCAAAGATGTTGAGAGTAGCAGAAACGTTCGCTGCAATCCAAACGAGTTTTGAGTGGCGCTTGGTATGAAGTACGCATGAGGGAAAGAATCTAGTTCGGACGTAAAGAGATCCCAAGTAGTACTTTACCCTTTGTGATTTTCGAAAGAAGATTCTCGAGGTTTCTGCTTCTAGAAGTGGGCGTCGTGTGAGGTTCCCTCCTCTTGGCGACCGAGGAGTCGTTGCGCAGCTAAGTTTGGTTGGCCGCCAGACTGGCAGGACACTGGGGAGCCTTGGAAACGTCGCAGTGTCATGTGCTTACCAAAGTCTCAGACAAACCGAGTTGGTATCTAACCAACAATCCAACGTCGAAGAGCAGGTTCTCTAATATCCGATCAACCGCTGGTTGTCTGAACTGACCATACACAAACGGCATCTTTTGCAGGGATCCCTTACAGCCCATCTGGACTCTGTCCGTCGCTCGAAGCTGGATCCTGGGCCTAGACTGGCTGGCTTCTCCAAGGTGCGCTCAAGAAAACCTTTTAGTTTCTTACAAAGTGCTGCTTCTGAGCTTGTTAATCTTGTTGAGTCCCGTTGGACCCTTTTTGGTGAGACGGCTGCCGACCCCTCATCGATCTTGAGCTACCTAGATTCATGTTTGGACCGGGATCTAGATTGTAAATCCTCAAAGGTGACGGTCGACGAAACCGCCGCGGTGCCCAGGGCACTATTTCGAATCAGGGCACAATCCTGACCACGTGGGTTGACGGGATTAATGACAAAATACAACACCGAAACAAGACACTGTATGGTGGAGCCAATCATTTCAGGGTTGGCTCCCCTGTCTTCAGGTGCTTGGTTCCTCGCCGCAAAAGCTGCGACGATGTCACTCTTCGGACGGGTTCGTCTCAGGCTGAGGAACTTTGAATTTTCTCTGAACTTAGCACGGGAAGCAGAGCACACTCATGGCCGTCCCTCCCTGTCGATCCCCTCAGGTCCTTGGCTGTGTGTTGAGACAACGGCTGGTACCCAGTTTTACACACTGGACGGCTTTCGTGCGCCGCTGCCGGGCTGCCAACCGCCCGCGTCTAGTTTGCTGCACGCTTACGTCACGTTTGTCTCTTCTGCGACATTCTAACCACGGGTGACAATAACCCAGTCTAAGCTCCAGCCTAACCCCAGTCGGTTCAGATTTTCGTAGGTGCGTGACAGTGTCTCGACACGACGGTTGGTATCAAGTTTACACACTGGACGAATTTGGCGTGCCGCTGCCGGGCGGCCAACCGCCCGCCTCTTTTCAACCAACGCTGACGTCATTTCCGTGTCCAGACGGCATCTGGACAACGCGCTCGAACGGGTCACGATAACTCGGTCAACGTTTTTATAGCTTAAACCTGTTCGGCTCACCTTTTCCTAGGTGCGTGACAGTGTCTCGAGACGACGGATGGTACCAAGTCTACACACTGGACGGGTTCGGAGTGCCGCTGCCGGGCTGCCAACCGCCCGTGTCTGGATCGACGCACGCTCACATCCGAAAGTTGAGCGACGGGGCCCTTTGGGGAGCGGACATCAGTCGTCTCACAGGTGAATGCATGCGCGTTCTTCTTTCTGGTAGTCGTTTTCTTGGATTCAGGCGCCTGCGGTAAGCAGATACTTCTGGTCAAAACGTCAGCGTTTTCAGTTTGTAAGCCGCAGCATTTTTGGAGTCCCCAGGTTTTTGTGACGCCAGTTTCCTCCAAGAACTGACTAGATTGAAAAGTGAGTAAGAAAAAGTACTCAAGAGCTTGACGACTTTCTCGTCGACTTGGAAAGGTGATTATTGCTTCAAGGCATTGACACCAAGCTTCGCATGCTGTGCTGCAGGACTCGTGGCGACGGGCTCCTCCAGCGGAGTGGTGTCTTTCTTCCAGGTATGCAACATGTTCCAAACCGACTTCCTGAGTAACGCACGGCTTCTCTGCGCTAGCCGATTCCCACTTCGTCGGACGCGGTCTTAAGAATTGGCGGTACTTGTTATCGGATCGAGCCCTGCGCGTTCGTTAGGAGCGCGATTCGTGACCATGCGATTACTTGAGCAAACCCCGACTTGCTGATGGACTTCTAGTGTGCCCATGTGTCCTTGAGACGGTATTACTGCCAGCCACGTGGACAATCAGACTGTAGGAACCTAGTTATTCGCCCAAGCTGGGTAACACCACGAAAAAGGGTACTGCTTCGTTCCACACCGTTGTGCTCGAGACTGCCGTAGGATCTTTAATCCTACTTAATAGTAAACGCCTTTCTCTCCAGTTGACACGTGGCTGGGTGTCGACGGGGCACGGTTCGAACCGCCACGTCCAGCCCGCGTACCGCTGCGCGGCGCTCGAAGCGGAGGACGATTCTGGCCCGGTAAGGCTACGGCTGAGCGGACCGAACGAAAATTTCGCGACTAAAAAGGAAGCGAACGAGGCCCTGCATAACAACAGCACAGAAGGCCAGCCGGACGATGCAGATGCTCCCGGGCCTTCAAAGGTAGGAGCCACGCAACCGTCGATGCGTAAACAGGGAAAAGGCACCAGCGGACAGGGAGGCCACTGGAGAAAGCAGCCTGTTAAGATTGTCGGTAGCGATCCAAGCACCTCCACTAGGAGTGGAGATAACAAGGAAGCCGAAACGCACTTTCCCGCTCGGAAAGTAGCGGTTCACCGGGTGACGTGGAATCCACATAAGAGGTACGGGTTGTGGATGGCTTGGGGCGGACGAGCCGGGGTGGTGTCTTGTCAAAGGGTTCGTTTGCCTCAGTATGAAGCACTAGATGAACGGACGTGAAAATCTCCGCAATTCCTCAGCTTCAAAGCTGATCTCGTGTCTCGGTAGCTGCACTTCAACTTATACATAGTGCTAAATTAGTCTGACGCAGTGACCTTTGAAATATATGTGCACATCATTGACCTGATATGTAAAACAATCAAGACAGTGGCGGCCGCGGGGCCGCGCGGCGCGCCTTGATCGGAAGCCGAAGTCACTAGCTGATCTTGCAAACGTGTCGGACCATGTAACGTACCGTCCCCAACTCTGTGGTTGCGTGGGCCCCGCCTGAGTCCGAGCAAGTGACCCGGCGCTGTGCGTACCTCAACATGCATGCAACGGCCGGTACACAGATCATATATATGCATTTAGGATATGCGTACTGGCAGGGAAGTGATTTCGCGATCAAAACATGCTTCACATGATCGTACGGCCCGGCCAGGGTTTTCCGTGAACACTTGACATGACATGCTCCGGTCGTTGCGGTCCGATGCTCAACGTACGATTGAATCGATCCGATCATGCTCGAGTACGTCCACTCCTTTCCCTGTTTTCAACCGGCCTCACACACAGCCCCGCATGCAGATTCGTCAGGCCGGAGAAACAAGCAAGCAAACCTGGAAGGTTCCGGCTACAAGGAGGGATCTTAACGCTTGGAAGGCATATGATTTGACGATTCGGACTCTATTGTCAAGAGTACAGTTCTGACCAGCTTTGCCCCCGGCTTCTGCTCGCAAGATCCTTCTGACTCTTAGCCACGAGATCAGGCCAATGCACGTTGAAGTGCTGTGATTGCAGCTGTAAGCACTCCTTTATTTCATTCGTCAGCGCTTGCACCATCTTCTGGTCCGGCCCCGACGTCTGATCGATGTTCACGAGCAGAGTCGCTACCAAGTTTCGCACTTGACACTGGAAAACCCGGAACGAGAGTATGAATGGTACTCAATACGACGTTGTCAGAGGGCGTTGACCCATTATTTTCCATGAGTCCCAGATCCCGGATTTGTCCACGATAAGCATTTTCCGGCGGTAAACCCGGAACGAGAGTGTGAGTGGTGCTCAATACGACGTTCTCAGAGGGCGTTGATCCATTCTTTGCACGGCGACCAAACGGCCGATGGCTCCGCTTGGACGGTGGCTCAATACGCATGTCCTGCTAGATTAAGCAACATGTAATCGCCAGAGTGTGGACAAAGGAACCGCCACATGACCGAATAATAGCAGGCTTCCTAATTGCTTGATTACTCGACGGGCGAGAAACAAAAGCGGGGCGACATATCATTGAATGCTGCCCCGCTACTTTTAACCTTTTCTGTGGCTTCTGTCTCCATCAAGAACGCAGCCACGGTCGTTTCGCCCACATCGCCCTCTTCCGATCAAAACCCCGTAACCCCTTTCTCTTACCTAGGTTGGAAGTTCATTCCGCGGCACACGATGAAAAGACGTCTCTGTCAGCACCGAGCGAGTCGGAAAGCCAAAGAAATGTGCAGGAAACGGGGAGGCTAGAGCCCGTTAATTGGATAGGCTCTGGGCTGGAAAAAAAACTTGTCTAAACCCCTAGACAAGAGGCGCCTGCGCTTGTAGCTCGACCAAGTACAGCCAAGGAACGGAAGAGGGACAAATAACCTGTAGACGTGAATCCGATCCTTGCACAGAATGGAAATACCTGGAAGGGGCAGACACACTCCTAGGCTGCAAACAAGCATACTCTGCGCCACAAGAAAATATGATCCTCAAATTGAATCCCCTGAGTTGAAACGGGGGGACGCGCTCACATGGCTGACGACTGCTGCCGCGACGCCGTCCACCAGGTTCCCGGTCGGAAGGTACGTCACATTCGTCCCCGCTTGTCCAGTTGCAGCCTGCAAACGTGGCAAGGACCGTAAGATACATAAGGTGCAGCTGATCGTAGGCGGACTGATATCACGGATGGAGACTTTGAGCTTCGTTGTAGTTCTTTCCTTTCCTTCGCTTTGAGGCAGTGCTACCGACTCTAGGCCAAACCCGACATCCTCTTCTACGAAGAAGGCTGTTGCAGGAATTCGAGAAGCAAAGTACTGTACACAGGGTTTGAAACAAAAACCCAAGGCGATACCGCTAATTAGTCGCGGCTTTAGATTTGAGGACCGAGCTTCCGGCGCCAGGAAAGCCAGTGTACCACTTGCGTGGCTATCTAAGCAGTTTAGATCAACCGCTATTGCTGCTCTTCAGCTGCCCACGTTTCTTTTCAGGTGCATGCTTTGGAGGCGTAGAATGAGGAATAATATTACGGCGGAACGAAGCCGGACCGTCTCATCTCCAACAGCTGCGACTGCTGAGTGGTTTTTTGCACGATATTCTTGAAGCTGGCGAACTGATGCTCGTCGCTCCTGGCCTCAAGTCGGCGATGTCGTCATTGCAAACATGTCTGGCTCTGCTTACGTGGATGGAACGACACTTCTGGATAAACCAAGTAAAACGCTTGACAGACTTGAAGTCTTTTGCATCGGAGCGCCCTGGAGTAATTCCGCCGACTCCCGATTTTCCTTACCCGTTGCGCTGACGTTTCCACCGTGTAAATCACCGGAGACGCCCCTTCGTCCGCTGCGCCCAGGAACTTTGAGCGGGGTATGGACCCGAGGACCACCGTTCTGCAAACGGGATTGCGATCAAACTTTTTCTTCGTGTTGCATTTCGCCTCATTCTATTCCGCCGTTTTTGGATCGTCGTGCATATCAACCGAGACCTTACGTCATCAATTCTCACGTCATCACCTCCCAAACTCCGGGTGGCAATCTAGCCTGTCAACGTCTGCGAAAGCAGCTGTCGCGTACGCAAAATGGCGCCAGCAATAGAACCGATCCATCGAAAGCACTGCAAGGACCGAAGTCTTCGAACTCGGATGGCGAGATCCATAGCCTTGCAACAGGTCAAGAGGATGAGATGCGAAGTATCTGCTATGTGTGAAGGAGATCAATTAAGGACTTTCTGACAAGGATAAGCGATGATGCAATCTGATGTCGACAGAAACGTCACTTTGCTGTTGGCGCCAGCCCTTCCAAGCACAAACATCTGGAGGTTTGTACCACAGATCTAGAGATTTGTACCACAGATCCAGAGGTTTGTACCTTGTCGCAGATACGCCGCCAAAGAGTGCTCTCGCCCAAGCCGCCGCCCCCTCTTGTCGCACCCCTTCCGGAACCGAGACGAGAATAATTCTGTCTCCCCCTGCGGCGCTCATTTGAAAAAGGTGTCCGTCAGACGCGTCATCTTCTTGGCTGCGGTCGCGTCGTCCCTCGTCCTGCAAAGTACGTTAAACAAGCGCCTCTTGTCAGTCGTTGGTTTGCAAGCTCCCGTGAGAACAGGAAACAGAAGGGGTTTTCAGTAAACGGATACAAAGGAAACGGGTCCAAGGGGGTGGTCCTCGGACCTTTTCTTCCCTTTGGCTGTGAATTAGACCAGGTTTGCATCAAAATACAGTAGCATCGGGTCCTATCGACCAAAAATGAAACTTCTGGTACTAGATGACGTGTATTTGCCAGACCTTTTCGAAATCGGTTCTTTTTTGAAAACCCGTGGAACTGTCACTTGTGTCCATTATCCAACCACAAGGGAATAAATATTGAAGAAGATGACCAACCGCCACCTCTTCTTCAAAGAAGCGCTCATGTACCAGCTAATAATACTGATACAGCGACAAGCAAGGGCGGAGCTGAATCAACAACGGCCGGAATAACGTTCCGCTCTTGAGAGTCTCCACCAAGGAAGGTGTTTGCCAGCGTTTGTTCCAAAGCCGCATCACAGACCTTGAGAAACACTGCACTTTCAAAATTTGCAGACGGTCAGCATCACAGTTGGTTGGGGGTTGCCAAAGCAAGCAAACTGAAATCAAACGCGCAGCCCCCTGTCAAGCTTGATTAAGGGAACGTATCGGCTTAGTCCTCCGTTTCGGACTTTTCACAGCGTGCATACCAGCCTGGGCCAAAGTTCTGATTGTGTGACAACACGTCACGGAAGTACGCATGAAGCAGTGACCAGTTGAGGTAGAATTAGCTCACTGTCTCATTTATGTCCTGGTAAATTGCGCCGACTTTATCACCAAACTCGCCAAGATGAGACAGCAGTACGCGGCTTGCAGAAGACGCTCCCACCATGAGCAGATCTGCCTGCAGCTTGCCGCCCTTGTGGTGCTGTTCGGCGGCCGGCAGAAGCTGCAACATACGGGCTGTCCGCTTTGTAGGTTCTTTGCTTCTACTTTCCGGCCTAGCTTTCCACCATGTTCAAAAGTGTAACGGTCGACAAAGTCAGAAAGCGAACGAGGACTGGAGAGAATAGCCCTACAGTCGTGCAGCCTCACTGTGCTTCTGACCGTTTTTGCTAATTGATACCAAGTGGTGCAAGACAAAAGTACTAGGAAAGTGACTTTGATTCCCTGATCTGCCTTGCAACATGTAATCGTTGAATAATCACAGAAGCACCATTCAGTACTCACAAATAAGCAGAAAGAGTGTCAAGCCAAGCACTGATATCAATTGGAAGCTTCGTTTGAATACAGGTCCAACAGAGTAGAACCTACTCATGTAACATTAATAACTTACAGGTACAAATGCCAACCAAACAACTCTTCCACGCAGAAATGCTCAATCCATGTTATGCTGGCAATGAAGGTATTGGCTGGCCTAATTGTGTGCCGAGCAAGTGAAAGCAATTCGCCACTTTGATCGCATTTTTGCTGCTCTGCATTTCTCAATGCAACACCTTAACCTGAAGCTGCTACCAGGACAAAGCTGTCTAAAAAGCCCTCTCACATCCTTGATCAGAGGAAGACAGACTCGTACGACTATCGAACGAAGTTGCTGGATTGCTCATGCGGAGCTTTGACAACACCACTTCCATCAATAACCTTGAGCGCTCCTTGATACAGCAAGACTTAAGGAATTTATTTCTTCAGCTCAATCTGTACTAAGAAAAAATCAAAAATAGAAAATAAACGTGGACACAGAAATAAAGACTCGTACCTTGAATGCATATGCTGCCTCCCCTTTGGACCCATACAGCTCCTCGAACTCTTCCTCATCTTCCTCCCAGGTCCGCGAAGGGCCCGCTTCATCCGTGATGGGATCGTAAAATAGCGCCATTGTGTAGAATTGAGGGAATGATCGAGAAAGCTCAAACCACAAGGAAACCAGCGGCCTGCGTTCCGCGCTTCAGCACCTCTCAGATCCTACAGTAGTCATGATCTCAAAAGACTTTCCCTGTTTTGAAAGAATTTTGATGCCATTGGCTCGGAGTCGGAGCAGTGCTTGAAACCGGGTTTAGTATAGGAAGTCTGTTTCGGAGCTGGGACTGCCCGCGACTAGAAACGGTGGACTCCGTCCAGCGGTGGCTCAGGGCTGTGAAATTCAGAACAGATGGGGCCTACCAAATGAAGTTCGGACTAAAATTGACGGTCCAGATCGATACGCTCGGATCGGACGGTCCGAGTGTGGCAAAGCCCCTGCCGGATTCGGCCGGTGACGGTAAATTCCAGAGCATGTACCGGAGAGGACGCCACGTAGGCACCCCGCTCGACGATTCCCGGACACCTTCGACCACCGACGCGTCGAACGGTCGGAACTTAGGGCCACGCGACCGGGTACCAACTACCATGGTCGGTGCTCAGGCACTTAGGGAGGAGCTGTCGAGTCCAAAAGGCAAGTTCGAGGGCCCAGTAAATCCGGACCGGGTAGCAGCGAGCAGGTGGAGGCGCACGGGGCTTAGGGAGGTCCGAGTAGGGCAAAGAAGGGTGGTAACCATGGAGTCTCAGGCTAGTCTTGAGCATTTCAGCGGTGCGTTGGGCCAAATAGAGCGAGGTACCGTAGAGAGCATTGCGTCAGGTCAAATTAGGGTTGACATCGAGAGTTGCAAGGAGCGTGTTGCTGTCAGGTGTTTAACGTGCTTGCATCAGATTTGGGTGAGGGGCAAGGATGGGCAATTGAGGGTCAATTTCCGCAAGAGCGATCGCAAGATCATGGGCTACCTCATTAGCGCTCAGATCCCAAAGGGCAAGCAATGCAGGCAAATTGTGTGCTTGAGCTGCATCCACAAGCTTCTGGGCATGGTGACGGAGAACTCTGATGGTCTGTCGGTGACGTTGAGCAGCAGGAACGATGGGGGGCAAGACACAACCATATTGCGGCGGCAAACGGGGGAAGGGGCTTGGAGCCAAACCTTTGAGCTCACGGATGTCGTGCTGAGCTATCTCTCTCGAGAGAACGTGACGACGGGGCTGGGGCAGAGGCCAGTGGCCACGGCGGCGTCTCAGATTGGCGAGCGAGGGATGGCCAAGGGAGTGCGGCCGAGAGCAAGAGGACATCGGAAAAAGGGGGTCGCGCCTAGGCCTAACGGTCTATGGTGCCGCACCTTTTGCCTGTTATCACGAACGTGCCGGAGCGCCGCCGTTGGGGCGCCGACGCCCTTGGTCTGCGCTCAGTGTCCGCCGAGCGGCAGGTTGTGCGCGGCTCGGAGGCGACCCCGGCACTCACGCGGTACGGCGCACTGCTGGGCGGCATGCGTGTTTGCCGACCTGTCGCCGATGCCGAACATCCCCGGCCTGTC